ATCCTCTGATAAATTTCAATTTCTTTTCATGAGTTCCTTTTGATTCCAATAATGCTGATTTGTGAAATGCGTGCAGCAAAAAGTGAAAATATCCACCTTCTGTTGTGAGATATGCCCTTCTGTTGAGTCATTCTGTTGTAAAAGCACTCATTTTAAAGATGAAATGAGGGGCCGGCACTGGGGCTTAAGCAAGTAAAGCTGCCGCCCGCAGTGCTGGCATCCATGTGGGTGCCAGTTTGGGTCCCGGCTGCTCCACTCCTGATCCAGCTTCCTGCTATGGCCTGGGAAAGCAGTGGAATATGGCCCAAGTCCTTGGGCCCCTGCTCCCATGTGAAAGACACGGAAGAAGCTCCTGGTTTCTGCATGGCACAGCTCCAGCCATTGTGACCATCTCAGCAGTGAATGAACAAGCAGGTGGAAGGCTTTTCTCTCTCTCTCTCTCTCTCTCTCTCTCTCTCCCTCTTTCTCTCTCTGTAACTCTGCCTTTCAAATAAATAAGTAAATCTAAAAAAAAAAAAAAAAGATTACTTACCGAATCCCATTGAGGATGGTTGCTTGTTGCTGTTGACACAAGTTGCCCTGTAAATCCCTAACTTGTTGTACTTCTTTAGGCTCAGAGGGTGGGAGAAACCCTTCTATTGGTTCTTCCTTCCAAGAAGTCCTCCAGAAAAAGAAGATGCAGACCTTGCATCTTCCTGAAGCTCCTCAAAGGCAATGATTCCTACCTGACTTTTAGAAAGAATAGAGGGATACATAGCAATGATCAAAATTGTAACTTTATAATTATTAAACTTTTTTTTTTGAGAGACAGAGAGGGAGAGACAGAGAAGTCTTCTACCTGATGGTTCACTCCCCAAATGGCCACAATGGCCAGAGCTGAGCCGATCCAAAGCCAGGAGCCAGGAGCTTCTTCCAGGTCTCCCAAGTGGGTGCAGGGCCCAAGCACTTGGGCCATCTTCTGCTGCTCCCCCAAGTCCTTAGCAGGGAGCTAGATCAGAAGTAGAGTAGCTGGAACACAAACCAGCACCCATAAGGGATGCCAGCACCACAGGTTGAGGCCTAACCTACCATGCCACAGCGCTGGCCCCAGTTATTAAACTTTGTTCAAGTTTTTGCTACCCATTCTTTTATCAGTTATCTGGGGTCCTCATGCTATCCTTCAATTTCTAAAAATCATCAACTGTGTCATTCTGTCTAGATCTGGATAAAAACATGGGGGGAAAAGTGTTTGTACACATCATCAATTGCAGAAAATAAAAAATATAGTTTATAATAAAAGGAAAATATAAATTATCCAGGAATGAATCTAACAAAAGGAAGCAGAAAGAATAAAACTCTATGAGACCTGAGAGATGACTAAGTTTCTTAATAGAAAAACTCAATAGTGTGAACACATTATTCTCTTCAGATAGATCTGTAACTTCAAATGAACCTTAGACAAAAACCCCAACAGTGTTTTTGTTTGCAGGTTTTTTTTCATGGAATGAACAAGCTGATTCCAAAATTTAGATAGAAAGGCAAAGCACCAAGAATAGTTAAGAAATTATTGAAGACAAGGCAACAAGCTGATTAAGATATCAAGGATTATTTTCAAGCTATCCTATTTGGCAGTAGAATTGGCATTTACAGAGACAAATTTAGACTAGATGGAATAAAATAGCATAGAAACTAAATCAGACCTACATATATCTGAACACTGGCCATTCTACAAAGGCTGTTTTCATTTTGTAATACAGGAAATATTGGGTGTTTGCTTGGGAAAGAAAATTCAATTTTGGTTTCTGTATCACAGCACACATGAAAACGAACTCCATATTGATTATAAATGTAAAAATGGAAAACAAATATAAATATTTCAAGTGAAAATATGAAAGAATATCTTCATGACCTTAGGATTATGAAACAAATTATAATAGGACATGAAAAACTCTAAACACAAAGGAAAATATTGACAAATTTGACTATGCTAAAATGAGGAATATCTGCTCATCAAGAGATTTCATTGAGAAAGCAAAAACTGAAGCAACAGAGGAAGTTATTTGCAGCATATGTAAAAATAAACCTCATATCAGATGAGAGTGAAATAAAGGCAAAACTAACTTTTTCCCCTAAAACAAGGACACAATTTACAAAAAAGAAAAGTACATTTTGAATAGATAAGTTAAAAGTTCACTTCAGGGACTGGCACAGCAGGTTAAGCTGCCGCCTGCCACACCAGCATCCCATACTGGCACCAATTTGAATCCCAGCTGCTCCTCTTCTGATCCAGCTCCCTGCTAATGTGCTAATGTGGGAAAGCAGCAGGGGCTGAGTCAAGTCCTTTGGCCCCTGCCACCCTGGCTCCTGGTTGTAACCATCTGGGGAGTGAACCAGCAGATGGAAGATCTCTCTCTCTCTCTCTCTCTCTCTCTCTCTCTGTCTCTCTTTCTCCCTCTGTAACTCTGCCTTTCAAATAATAGAAATGGTCACCTCATTAATAATCAAATGACTAAAATTAAAAGGACAATCAGATATAGTACAAGCTCACAAAACTGGCAAAAACTAAAAACTCCACCAGTACACGTTAGTAAGGATGTTGCAGGAGACAAGCCTCTATATATGACATCAAATAAAAAATTAGTATGCTAATTTTGTTTATTTAGGAAGACTTACACATGTAGGCACTGGGTTGTCCACAGAAAAGTATTCAGAGCAGCAGCATTATTCTTTATAATAAAAAATAAGAAACAACCAGACATCCATCACAATAGAATCAATACATAATATATGACGACAAAAATGAATCAACTAGAGCTACAGGGAACGACACAGGTGGAACTTAAGAAACACAATATTGTGAAAAAGAAAGTTGATTTAAAAAATAAAAGGCCCAGTATGACTTTATTAAAGCAAAGCTTTTAAAAAGGCAAAACTTGCCTGTGTTAGTGGTGGTGTAATTATAAATAAAAGCAAGGAAGGGAGAATGGCAGGGTGGCAGCTATCTCCCAGGAGGGGTGACTGGAAGCAGCACGGAGCCCTCTGCAGTTCTGGTTATATTCTCTTCTGGACCTGATGGACCTAAGAGGTAGCTACCTGAGTTCTTACTTTTCAATAAGTTGTTATATTGCCTCTTTATTTTTGTGTGTTCTACACCATAGATATGATTCTCTATATGTATATATTAAAGAATTCTTAAGCTACATGAAAAGAGAAAAAATAGGTTATCGGAAAGGGTGGAAAATTTGCTACCATTTATTTATTTTTTAAAAGATTATTTATTTATTTGAGAGGTAGAGTTACAGACAGTGAGAGGGAGAAACAGAGAGAAAGGTCTTCCTTCCATTGGTTCACTCCCCAAATGGCCGCAAATGGCCACAATGGCTGGAGCTGCCCCAAAGCCAGGAGCCAGGTGTTTCTTCCTGGTCTCCCATGTGGTGCAGGGGCCCAAGCACTTGGGCTATCATCTACTGCTTTTCCCAGGCCGCAGAAGAGAGCTGGATTGGAAGAAGAGCAACCAGGACTAGAACCAGTGCCCATATGGGATGCTGGCACTGCAGGCAGAGGATTAACCCACTGTGCCACGGTGCCGGCCCCACCCATTTATGTTTAAGAAGGAAGGAAGGAAAGTAAAAAGGGGGAGATTGGGAGTGAGAGAGCAAGAGAGAGAGAGATGGAGAGAGAAAGAGAATAAGCTTGCACAAGAACAGGGTAACCCACAGGGTAATGCTGTGGCTGTGTCTGGGCAGGAGAATAGGAGGTCATGGGCAGGATTTGAAGAACTCTGAAATCCTGAACACACTTTTGCATCTTTTTGTATCACCTATCGATAATAAGTGCAATTGGCCCTCGTCATCCACTAGGTTCTACATCCACAGATTCAACCAATCTCAGATAAAATACATTCGGAAAAATAGAAATTTTGTCTACACCAAACATAACCAGATGTTTTCTCCTTGTCATTACTCCCTAAAGGATATGATAATAGCAGCTGTTTACTTAACACTTACAATGTGTTGGGTATTTTAAGCAATCTAGAGATGATTTAGGTATCTGGGAGGATGTGTAAGTTATTGGAGGGTACTTCAAAAACAATCATGAAAAATGAAATTAAAAGGTAAGTTTATTTTGGTGTATTTTTGAAATCCTTGCATATGATTTATTTTAAAAGTTCTTGAAATTGTATATTATGACAAAAACTATGCATGACTTTCAAATATGTTTTACACCAAAATAAATTTATTCTTTAATTTTATTTTTCCACTAACATTTTGAAGTACCTTCCTATGCAAACATTTCCCCGTTTTATATAAGGGACTTGAGCACCTGTGGATTTTATCTGGAGAGAGTCCTGAAAACAATCCCCCAAGGACACCAAGGGGCCACTGTAAGTAAAGTTTTCTGGCAACTCTAACAACACCGATCCACAAGGGGTCACTATTGAATGATATTTTGCTCTAACTCCACAGCAGGGAAAAATCTGAATTCTTTCTGTGCTCTTACTTCTAGGTGAAGAAACGTCTTAATTTATGTTCTTATTTTATTTCACATCACATCATGTTCCAGAAAAAAACTATAATATGCAAATATGCACAACAAACAGCATACATTTGAAAGCAGATGAAGACAAGAAAAGTGAATAGACAATAAGAAGCCAGGAAGGAGTTTATAGAAGTATAATGTTAACTGTCTCCCCTAGTGGTAATGCACAAATTCGTCTAAATTTTCTAGCATATAGAGATAGGAAAAAAGAAAGTATGCTCAATTGTTCAATTCAAAATCTTGCCCAGGAAAGTAATAAGAGTTGGAAAAAAAGAAATTTTCCCAAATTAAGAGTCTATTAAAGGGGCCAGCGCTGTGGCATAGTGGGTAAAGCCACCGCCTGCAGTGCTGGCATCCTATATGGGTGCTGGTTCAAGTCACGGCTGCTCCACTTCCGATTCAGCTCTCTGCTATGACCTGAGAAAGCAGTAGGAGATGGCCCAAGTCTTTGGGCCCCTGCACCCACGTGGGAGACCTGGAGGAAGCTCCTGGCTCCTGGCTTCAGATAGGCGCAGCTCCAGCCGTTGTGGCCAATTGGGGAGTGAACCAGCAGATGGAGGATCTCTCTCTCTCTCTCTCTCTCTCTCTCTCTCTCCTTCTCTTTCTGTGTAACTCTGACTTTCAAATAAATAAATATATCTTTAAAAAATGTCTATGAAAGACAATTCATGAGTATCCTTTAGGTGGAATTCCTGGTTGGTCTTAATAACATGAAGCTGTATCACTTCACTATTTAAGAGAAGTAGAAGAACGGAAGTTTCATTCACCACAATCATGAATGAAAATGAAACTAAGAACATATCCTATAGCAAAAGAAGAACAAAGCCTTTAGACTGCTTTAAAGATTCTTCATCTTCCACACAAGACAGACAGTGTCTTCATTTGTCGGATTTTTCAAAATTTCACTTGCTGCAATGAAAGCTGAGCTGGTTGCACATTGGGCTACTAACGAGTTAAATGCTGTCAAAGGAAATTGGCCCTGACCAAACTCTGCTTCTGGATCACAAGTGGGCTGGGCTTTGGGCAGCATAAAGACTGGGAGAAACCTGTGTGTGGGGAAGCCAGCCCCTCAGTACAGAAACAACTGCAACAAACGATTCAGCAGTCATGGACTCCTCTGACTGCCACAGGAAAAAAGTAGCTGTCATTGGTGGAGGCTTGGTAAGCATTCACTCAGATGTTCTATTACTATCAGGGATTCTATATAAATTCCTATTACTCTGAATAATTATTTTTCTTCACTTGTGCAGATGAAAACGTTGCTGATATTTAAATACACCTGGTTGGAATGTATTGTTAATTAATTTGTTAACCTGTTCTTTTCAGGGAAGGTATTTTATATCCATGACATAATAAGGTATCAGTTTTCCCTTGTCATTTGGTCTCATATTTCTTGAAGATGAAAAATAAAGCCAATTGAATTTGCTTTTATCCTCTAAATTGGCTATGTTTTTCAAAAGAGATGCTTGTCTTAATAGTCGTCTTAAAGCACTTGTCCCACTTTGGTCAATAGCTCGTTTTATACTGTCTACGGAGAATGGAAAGGTCAAGAAACATGAAGTTAATGTAAGATTACATTGGATTGTTCACTAGTTCTTAAGTGATTAAGCAGGTGAGACTAAAGAGCTGGACCTGATCCTACACTTAGCAAGATACAAAAAGGATATAAGCAGATTTGAAAAGGGTTGATCCTTAGCTTCCAAGTTATGGTATCAAAGCTAATTCTGTTTAATATGGGGCTGCCACAAGGAAACTGTTTTTTTTCTCCTTTCAGCAGAACCCTGTTTTAGAGAAAAAATGTCCCAATTAGTTAACGTTTCATCAATTTGTTTTCACCTTTGGTCAAATCATTTGCAGGCTTTTAACTCATATATCCATTCATTCATTAACTCGATAAAAGTGTATTGAGCATCTTACACTGTTCTAGGCTGCATATAGATTGGCATATTATATGCCACACATGTGTTTATACACTACGTGCTAATTTTGTCTTCTGCCTTTCTTGTCTTTTCCACAAAGTGCTATGTTGGTTCCTTTATCACTTCTGATTCTGAATGTCAAAATGCTAAGGAATGCTATCACATGCTGAATTGGTCACTGGATATGACACATGTTGTCATTGCTTCACACTGGACTTCTGCCCAGTTCTTTATTATTAAAATGTTGCACAAACTGAGAATTCACATATTCAACAAAATCTTACTGAGTGCTTGCTTTGTGCCAACATTGTTTCAGGTAGTAGGGACAGAGCGGTGAGAGTTCCAGGGAGGAGAAAGACAATGAGGAAGAAAACAAGAAAGAAGATTTCAGTTAGGGATAAGCACTGCAAAGAAGTGTTAGCAGAGTAGTACTGTAGCGAGTATCTTGTGGGGTACCTCTGTTTAGAGTGTGGTCAAACACAGCATCTCCAAGGAGGGGATACGTGACTAGACACCTGAATGATGAGATGAAACCAACCGTGGAAGATCCATAGAAAGAACACTTCAGGCAGAAGGAACAGCAAGAAGAGAAACCCTGGGATTATATTGAGCTGTGCAAAGTTAAGAAGGATATAGGAAGACAGGAGCAGAACAAAGCCAGAAAAAATTAGCTCAAACAGCCAAATCTTGTAAGATCTTAGAGGGCCAGGCAAGAAGATAGACTTCATTTGAAGTGGAACGAAAAGCCACTGGTGAATGTTAGGCAGGAAAGTAAACTAGGATGTAAAGGATCCCTCAGGCTATTATGTAGAGAATGACTGGGGGAGGGGAGGAAACTGTAAGAAGACAGCATAAATCAGCTGTGTGGCTTTATGTTAGTCCAAGATTGGGACTAGAGTGGCAGCAGTGATGTCTCTTAAAATGTCTCATAGAAATCACAAAAATATGATTGGATATATGATTTTGGAAAGCATAAACATGTGCATATAAGTCATGGCTTTCTCCATGAATAGCACTTGAACTCTTCATCAATAACTTAACACATGTGCTGGGAAATAGGAAACACAAATCAGAACACATGTACTAGGAAACAACTAAAATTCCTCTACAAAAGAATTACAATTACCTTATTGCTCAGACTTATGCCTGGGCATCAGATTTGATTATCTTTTCCCAATTTGTTGCAACCCCATCAGTAAGTCTTGGTGGCTCTGTTTTTAAAAAAAATATATTTCAGCTCTGGCTATCAATATCATACTAGTCCAAACCATCCTCATTACTTCATTCTCTTGTAACAGCCTCCTAAATAGTCTCTCAAGTTCACCTCTTAACCACCATTCTCCAAATAATATCCAGAATCATCCCTTTAAACCACAAATCTGATCAATGTTATTCCGTACTTAATTTTAATCAATTTCAATTAACTCCCATTACAAACAAAATAAAATCCAAACATGCATTTTTCTTCTTCTTCTTTTTTTTTTTTGTTTTCATATTTCTCATCCTTCACCTCCCCATGGGCCACATCCCATTATACTAATACATTCAGGCTCTCTCCTGGCTTCTAGGATTTAAAAAAATGCAAGCTGAGAACCATTATTTAGAAGTTCATAGGATACGATGAACTTACCTTAATTCCTTCCATAGCCCACTATGTCTATTGATCCTGTTTAGTGAAAAGTCACCCTAAGAATTGTCCTTGCTCTACTGTTGTGATCATCTGTTCCTGATTAAACCTATTGATTTCCTTTCTTGGAAAACATTATTGATCCAAAAAGTTAGGAATTGAACCCAGGTCAGAAGTAATAACAAAATCAGCGCAGGAACATTTACTGAGAAACCAAACCATGATCATAAACTGGAGAAAGTTTAAATATTGAAAAAAAGCATAGAAAAATATGTTGACACAAAATTTCAATAATGTTGACCTAAATATTTCAAAAATTACACTGTATTGACACCATTCATGAGAATAATGTCTTAAGGGATATATCCTTTCAATGATTAATTTACAAAGTATTTGGCAAACAATCCCTACTTTTAAAGCTGAAAGTAGTTCTACAGGTGTCACTTACCAACTCTAACAAGTAAGCACGGAAAAAATTTGCCTCTCAAGAAACTGCTGTATGAACAGCCTTACTTTGTGTATTGAGATTTCTTTGCTTTACAAAATAGCAAGCCAGAGAAGTAAAAAGCAATCAGAGAGGGGACATTTAACCCAGCAGTTAAGTAGTCAACTAGTGGATTGGATCACTCTCTCTCTCTTTCTTTCTCTCTCTCTCTCATAAATCAAATACTAAAAAAATTACAACAAAGACCATCTAACCTAAACTACACAGGGATTCTTAAGCCATATCTTAAATTCAGGGTCCTAGGTGTTCAAAAAATACTGAGAAATATTGTTTCTGACTACTATTTTCAGTGTTTCCAGGTATGATGCAAATGATTGACCCCCAAAAGCACTGGCTCAGTGATGACTACAGCTGTTTGAGCCCTCATTTTTTGGCAGAATCCAAGAGCCTTGGCTAAAAGCACGAATAAACATGCCAGGCTCAGCTGTATCCAGCTCTTGCAGTGTGAATCCACTCTTCCAGAATACCTCCTGGAAATACGTTTTAGGGTATCGCTGCAGCAGTTCCTCTGTTTTTCCTGCTGAGAAGCAAGCCTACTACAGAGTGTTTCGTGATCCATTCTCCTGTGTTTGACCCATCAAAATTCTCAAGAAGTATTTATTTTTTATTTTATTTTAAAATTTTTACTTACTTGAGAGAGAGAGAGAAACTAACTGTAAGGCACTGGGATAGACTATAGAAGGGATTGAAGCAGGACCCAAAGCTAAGACAATCTTTAACCCCATGATGACTCCATCAGTGAACTCCATCCATGATGATCCCAAATGACTCCATCAGCTGGAACTGGGCCAGGCCAAATGTGTGAGCTGGGAACTCAATCCAGGTCTCCTACAGGGGTGACAAGAACCCAACTGAATTATTTGTAAGGGAGAGAGAAGAGAGAGAGAGAGAGAGAGAGAATCAATCCTCCATCCACTGTTTCACTCATCAAATTCCCACAATGAATGGGGCTGTGACCAAAGTCAGAAGCTGTGAACTCAATCCAGGCTTCCTATATGGGTGGCAGGGACCCAACTACTTAAGCCGTCACCTGCTTACCTCTGGGGTACATACTAGCAAGAACTGGAATCTGAAGCATAGCCAGGACTTGAATCCAGGTGCTGTGAAATGGGATATGTGTCTCTCAAGTGGTATCTTAACCAGTTTGCTAAATGCTGATCCCCAAAGATTAAATTTTTACGAGACCAAACGGTCCATAACTAAATACAGATTTCAAGAGGTATACATTAGCTTTCAAAAAGTGCATTTGGGCCGGTGCCGCGGCTCACTAGGCTAATCCTCCACCTTGCGGCACTGGCACACCAGGTTCTAGTCCCGGTCGGGGCGCCGGATTCTGTCCCAGTTGCCCTCTTCCAGGCCAGCTCTCTGCTGTGGCCCGGGAGTGCAGTGGAGGATGGCCCAAGTGCTTGGGCCCTGCATCCCATGGGAGACCAGGAGAAGCACCTGGCTCCTGGCTTCGGATCAGCGCGGTGCGCCGGCTGCAGCGCGCTGGCCGCGGCGGCCATTAGACGGTGAACCAACGGCAAAAGGAAGACCTTTCTCTCTCTCTCTCTCTCTCACTGTCCACTCTGCCTGTCAAAAAAAAAAAAAAGTGCATTTGATGACAGACTCAGAAACAACTATGATTCACAGGGAGTGTTCTATATGCTTCATTAAGTCGAAAATAGTTGATGTGTGTTTAATATGACATTTCAGGTTAATTACAAACACATTACATAAAGAGACATAAAATGCATGAATCTTTTATAATCACAATCCCCCTTCCTAATAGGTCCACATTTACAAATTAAAAAGTATGTTTTTCTCATGACCATTTGCTATTTGGAGCCATGACTGCTGGATGGGATCACAGGGGACATAAAACCTAGCAAGTATATGAGAAGCATTTCTCAAATTAATATGAAAGAAAATTTCAGATAATGTTTTTAAATCATAAGTGAGGCATCCATATAATGGAATAACTAAGGGGTCAAAGCAAGTGACCTGTAAGGAGGGAAGTACGAGGAATCAGGGGAAAAAATAGAGAAATGGAAGAACTGGGTTGTCTATAATTACGAAACCAAGGAATCTCTTGAAAACTCTTACATATAAACAGCCTTTTAAAATGTCCTGTTTTCTCTGATAAGTGGTAGTTAGATTATAATACAAAAGCAATACGTAGAGTAAAACTGATGTCTATGATTTGATTATTGTTTGTAGCCCTTGTATATTCCTGTGGAACAGTGGTATCTCTACTTTTTACTTGTTGAACATTAGGGTTAGTGGTGCTTTAAGCCTGTGATTACAAAGTAAGTTGAAATTTTGTTATTGCAACAATTAAAGGAAAAAAAGGAAGGAAGAAGGGGGGATTGAGGGAGGGAGGGAAAGAGAAACAAATATGGTTATCTTAGAATTGTATCTATGAGCCAGCGCCGCGGCTTACTAGGCTAATCCTCCACCTTGCGGCGCCGGCACACCGGGTTCTAGCCCCAGTCGGGGCGCCGGATTCTGTCCCGGTTGCCCCTCTTCCAGGCCAGATCTCTGCTGTGGCCGGGAGTGCAGTGGAGGATGGCCCAAGTCCTTGGGCCCTGCACCCGCATGGGAGACCAGGATAAGTACCTGGCTCTTGCCCATCGGATCAGCGCGGTGCGCTGGCCGCGGCAGCCATTGGAGGGTGAACCAGCGGCAAAAGGAAGACCTTTCTCTCTCTCTCTCTCTCTCTCTCTCTCTCACTGTCCACTCTGCCTGTCAAAAAATAAAAATAAAAAAAAGAATTGTATCTATGAAATACATGAAATCTCTTTATATAAACATTTTTAATTGAAAAGCAAAAAAATACTAATAAAACTTCCAATTCACAAATTATTTTTTGATAAAAACAGTTATTGTCCTGGTCTTTTGGTGCTTCCAAACAAGTACAGAAACCTTTGTTCTTTTTTTTTTTTTTTTTTTTTTTGACAGGCAGAGTGGACAGTGAGAGAGAGACAGAGAGAAAGGTCTTCCTTTGCCGTTGGTTCACCCTCCAATGGCCGCCGCGGCCGGCGCGCTGCAGCGGCGCACCAGCGTTATTCAGTAGCCAGAACCAAGTTGCTTTTCTGGTTTTTCCAAGGGGAGCAGGGGCCCAGCACTCTGGCCATCCCTCCATGCAATTCCTGGCCACAGCAAGAGAGTGGCCTGGAAGGAGGGCAACCAGGACAGAATCCGGTGCCCCGACCGGGACTAGAACCTGGTGTGCCAGTGCCGCAAGGCGGAGGATTAGCCTAGTGAGCCACAGTGCTGGCCAGAAACCTTTGTTCTTAATAGAAACTGCCTTATCTCTCTCAAGGCTCAACCTCAAGACCCGGCATTATGAACTCTGTCTTATTTCTCCTGAGTGTCTACTGGTGCCCAATTTCCCCTCTCCTCTCATTACTCTCCTTCCCTATTTATGCTCAGGAACCCAGTTGTGCTGTAACCGAGAGTTTGTGGTGGGCTTAAAATGGTTCCCACACCACATTTTGTTTCCATTTATATCTCTTTGTCTTCTTAAAATTTTTTGGCTGAATAACAACTAAAAATGGCACTGACAGTTATTCTCAAATAAGCACAGTTTACAGAAAGTGAGAAGGGAAATAGAGTTAGAGTCCAAAAGCTACATTATTAGCCAAATTGATAGCCCTTCCAGAGGCACTTATGAACCTACTGCTAGACATATGATCCATCCCTGTGGTTTCCACATCTCTTATATTACAACCTCAAGGTTGCTATCCTTCTTACATTATAACTGACACCAAAAGGCAGGAAGAAGAAGCTTCCAGACTCCTACTCTTTGGCTGGCGCCGCAGCTCAATAAGCTAATCCTCTGCCTGCGGCGCTGGCACACTGGGTTCTAGTCCCGGTAGGGGCGCCGGATTCTGTCCCAGTTGCTCCTCTTCCAGGCCAGCTCTCTGCTATGGCCCAGGAAGGCAGTGGAGGATGGCCCAAGTGCTTGGGTCCTGCACCCGCATGGGAGACCAGGAGGAAACACCTGGCTCCTGGTTTTGGAGCGGCGCAGTGGCCATTTGAGGGGTGAACCAACGGAAGGAAGACCTTTCTCTCTCTCTCTCTCTGTCTCATTGTCTAACTCTGCCTGTCAAAAAAAAAAAAAGACTACTCTTGGAGTAGGCTTAAATCATGTCTGCTGAATTTTATTGGCTAAAGCTATCACCACCCTCTTGGATTAAAGAGAATTGAGAAATAAACTCCATCTCTTGATGAAGACATGTCAAGATCACATTTCAGAGGAGTATGTTATGGCCATCATTGAAAAATACCACATCCTTCAAGGCAAAATTAATCCTTTTCTTGTGAATTTGAATTTCTTTCTTTCCTTCTCTCCCTGCCCCTGCCTTTTGCATTTATTTTCACTTTTGGGCCAAGAGTTATTTTGCAAAGTGTATCTGAATTTATATGCACACAAAACACTAGGTACCTGATATAAAATTATGTGATTTTAACACATAATGATTTTTAAATGGTAAGTAGAAGTCATGTGATTAAATTTATTTTGTATTATTTGAACAATGCACATTAGAAATGATATGTTGATCTGGAAATATTTTATATAAAAGTATGCCTTTAAAGGAGTTTATTAAGAATTAACCAGTTTATATTTTTCTTTTAACTAACTTGGGTGTTCTCTGGGCACAAGGACTTATCTTCATAGCCTTTAAATCCCTGAAATTTAAAAGAATGACTTATATATAGTAAGTGCTTGATAAAGTTTGGCTTCATTTGGCTACAAATTTTACTTAGAAACATAATCTCTACCACCATAATGCATTTCACAATATTTATCAAGTACTTAATATGTTACATATATAATGGTAGAGCTAGGGATAAAATCATGAATGAAATCAGTTGATAGTCTAACTGGATAGACAGATATTGATGACAGAATCACTTTAAAGAAAAACTTTCCATTGTGATAAGCCCTGGGTAAAATAAAATACATTTTTAAAAATTAAAAAAGATGCAAAAAAACCCACACTGTGATTCTATGTTGCAGAAAATGGGCAAAATTAACTACATTGCTTAGGAATATAAACAATATATACCTAAGTGGTAGAATGATAAAGAAACAAAAATGGTGATCACAAAATGCAGAATAATGTTTACCTCTAGGTGAGAGGGAAGGAGATTGTGATTGTGGAGAAGTTGTGGGGATTTGTGGGGGCTGGCAATAGTTTACATTTTGACTAGAATAGTGGTTATACGGATTAAAAAGTTATAAAGTCGGGGGCTGGCGCTGTGACATAGCGGGTAAAGCCACCGCCTGAAGTGCTGGTATCCCATATGGGCACCGGTTCGAGTCCTGGCTGCTCCACTTCCAAGCTATCTCTCAGCTGTGGCCTGGGAAAGCAATACAAGATGGCCCAAGCCCTTGGGCTCCTGCACCCGTGTGGGAGACCTGGAAGAAGCTCCTGGCTCCTGGCTTGTGGCTAACTGGGGAGTGAACCAGTGGATGGAAGACCTCTCTCTCTCTGCCTCTCCTTCTCTCTCTGTGTAACTCTTTCAAGTAAAATAAATCTTTTTAAAAAAAGTTCTAATTATTCTATTAACTGTATACATGCTTTGTGTTCTTTCTTCAAAAAAGTTGTATCTTAATATAAAAAGGCTAAAAATAGAGCCAGGAGTCTCTAAAATTATAACATTTAATTTTGAATCAGTCTTACCATTTTTGCAACTGGTTCTTTCTTGTAGAGACTGAGTAAATCAATGTGAAAAATGAAGTTGGTAAAATATAGCTACCTACAACATTTCCTCTTGCTGCTAACATTTCCCTATATTGTAGAATCAGATAAAGATATAAAAAATTTGTTTGAATTCCCAGGTTGGATCATTAAATGCATGCTTCCTTGCAAAGAGGAATTTCCAGGTTGATGTATATGAAGCTAGGGAAGGTAAGTCAGTATTGAAAATTAGGAGATGTTATTTCTGAGTCTTGAACCTCTATTTCTTTAGAATATTTTGAAAAAGAAAAAAAATTTAATAAAAGAAAAAAGTAAAGCACTATTAGATATTTTAAAATTTCATCAATCTAAATTTAATTCAAATTTACTGCTATTATCTACTTTTAAAAGAAAAGTTAACAAGGCCTTCTAATTTGGTTTGGAGTGCACTAATTGTTCAGGTGCACTACCGCTGTGTTCATCCTGTGCTGGAGTATAATGAGTTGTGTGTAACATGGAGTCTGTTTCATATGTCTTAGATATTCGAGTGGCTAAATTTGCACGTGGAAGAAGCATTAACTTGGCCCTTTCTTATAGAGGACGACAAGCCTTGAAAGCCATTGGCCTAGAAGATCAGGTATCTTGTTGATGTATTTTTCTTGTATGAAATAATACCTGATGGTTTTCAATAATTGCATGGTATATATTTCAACTTGGTTTGAAGTGCCATTTAAAGCCAATGACTTCTGCATAAAAACCCACTCTACAAAGGTTTCCAAAGTTCTAAATTTGATAAGAGGGTGAATATTTGATACTCTAAATACCTGGGAGTGGGGGGAACCAGAACATGACAAGAGGACATTACAACCTCATCTGATGATCACTTCTGACACTGGGCTGTCAGTGGCTGGCAGGTCTCTGGCTACAGAAAGTGGTAGTCGGCATCCCAGGATAAGAGGAAGCACATAGACTCCATTTTGCTGATTTGTTTACAGAGGTCCATAATCTCTTATCTACAATTCTGTATTTCCCACAAACCTTGAAAATATAAAGGTTTCCATCACTCATTTGGCAGCAAAATTTGACCTGACATAAGACTTTTCATGCTTTTTTTTTTAAAGATTTACTTATTTATTATTTGAAAGAGTTACAGGGAGAGGGAGAAGGAGAGGGAGAGAGGGGGAGAGAGAGGGAGAAAGAGAGAGAGAGGGAGAGAGAGAGAGAGAGAGAAGATCTTCCATTTGCTGGTTCACTCCTCATATGGCCACAATGGCTGGAGCTGGACCAATCTGAAGTCAGGAGCCAGGAGCCAGGAGCTTCCTCTGGGTCTCCCACGCGGGTGCAGGGGTCAAAGTACTTGGGCCATCCTCCACTGCTTTCCCAGGCACATTAGCAGGGAGCTGGACTGGAAACAGAGCAGCCAGGGCTCGAACTGGCTCCCATACTGGATGCTGGCACTGCAGACAGCGCCTTTACCACTATCCCACAATGCTAGCCCCATGTTGTTGTTGTTTTAAATCAGACTTAGCATGAATGTTTTGCTCCAGTAATACTGTGCTTGATTAAAGAGTGGTATCCCAGACATACTGTGTGTTGTGTGATATACAAAATAAATACACATACTACGTATCTAAGTTATGAAAATCTGAAACCATCAAGTCTCACAGGTTGAATAAGAGGTTTCCTCATGTGGGCTAACTGTTATAAACTTCTCACTCTTTATCATATAGCTTCAAGATATGGTATGTTTTTCTTGATTCTATTTTCATTGACAAAGTGTCTTTTAAGTGGTAACATAAGTAAATGTGAATGCACGTGCAATCTCACATTCTTCTTCCGAACAGGAGCAGCCATGGATAAGAAAACACTTGGGGGCCAGTGTTGTGGCATAGCAGGTAAAGCTACCGTCTGTGATGTTGGCATCCCATATGGGCTCCCATTCAAGTCCTTGCTAATGGCCTGGGAAGGCAGCATAAGATGGCTCAAGTGCTTGGACCCCTGCACCTACATGGGAGTTCCAGGTAAAGCTCCTGGCTCCTGGCTTCAGCCTGGTTCAGCCCTGGCCAATGTGGCCATTTCGGGAGTAAACCAAGGGATGCAAGATTTCTCTATATTTATCCTCCTCACTGTGTTACTCTGACTTTCAAATAAATAAATAAATAAATTTTTAAAGCTTTATATCTTTATTTGAAAGAGTCACACAGAGAGACAAGGAGAGGCAGAAAGGGAGAGGTATTCCATCCACTAGTTCACTCCCCAGTTGGCTGCAATGGCCAGAGCTGCACCTATCTGAAGCCAGGAGCCAGGAGTTTCTTCCAGGTCTCCTACGTGGGGGTAGGGACCCAAGTACTTCTTCTTTCCCAGGCCATAGCAAAGAGCTGGATTGGAAATGGAGCAGCCGGGACTGGAACTGGCACCCATATGGGATGCTGGCACTGCAGGTGGCAGCTTTACCCGCTACACCACAGTGCCAGCCCCAATAAATAAATCTTTTAAAAAAGAAAGAAAAAAGAAAACACTTGGTATTAGATTTTAGGAGCACTGGGTTTTATTCCTTATAATGCCCCTTTTTGTCATCATGAGAAAAATCACTTAATCTCTAACAATGAGCCACTTTCCTCAACCTGTAATATTTGATTTAGAGCAGATAAATTTTAAGTAAATTCCAAGATCTAATGTAAAAATATAAAAACAAGTAAAATTTGCAGGAAAACAGTTTTCATTGGATGACTTTCCATAATCAGGCTTACAACGGTCCTTTATAATTTTTTTTCCAAAAAAAAAAAAAAACCACAAACGTTTTTTTGGAAACTATTCGAAGACCATATTTTAAAATCAGTATTTATCGTATTTGAATGATGTCATGTTGTAGAATTTGACATCAACATTTCTGATTTCATTTCAGATTGTATCCCAAGGTATTCCCATGAGAGCAAGAATGATTCACTCTCTTTCAGGTAAAAAGTCTGCAATTCCCTATGGGACAAAGTCACAGGTAGGTTTACTCTGGAGACGGTTGGTTGTACACAGATTACAACTAACTCTAATACCTGCAACTTGCGACATGCTTGACAGCATCTTCCTCTCTCTACTCCTATCTTTGACATTGTGCTGCTTATCCTAGGCCACAGGAACACCGAGACTAGGTAGCAAGTGCTCAAAATAGGGCCCAGTCATTTAGGAAAAGTTGGCTGCTGTTCTCTTATTAGGCCATTTCTTGCCTCTATGTTTTGTTCTTGCTCTCTGGTTGCTTGAGACATCCTTTCCCTCCATCTCTTTTTTAATTAGATAGAAAAGAGTACCAGGTTATTTTGTTGTCGAGTTGACAACCCTACAACCCATCCTGCTCCAAATTAATTATAATAGAATTTATAGAATCAATGTGAGATGCTTTCAGAACCTCATAATTTCTAACACAACAGGGGCTGAATGGTGGTGTAGAGTTTATGAAAAAAATTATTATATAGCTTTGTGTTTTCTTATCTTTCACATAGTAATGTACAGAGCTGGGTACAGTATGTGCTTTAATCTAATTATATCTTTTGATTTGGTTTCCTTGAGGGGGAATAAATGCATCAATGTCTATCAATATGAGAAACACTGATATTGGTTTTATTTGTATCCAGCAATGCTTTATTTTATTTAGTGCAGAGCCCAAGTGAGGTTCACATACTCCTGAGTCTGGCTCTCCACAGAGCTCCCAGTGGAGGTGGATCAGCAATGTTTCTCAGGCTCCCCAGAATTCTGTGTTTTTTGTTTTTGTTTTTTTGTTGTTATTGTTGTTGTTGTTGTTGTTGTTTTTTGACAGGCAGAGTGGACAGTGAGAGAGAGACAGAGAGAAAGGTCTTCCTTTTCCTTTGGTTCACCCCCCAATGGCTGCTGCGGCTGGCGCGCTGAGGCTGGTGCACCACGCTGATCTGATGGCAGGAGCCAGGAGCTTCTCCTGGTCTCCCATGTGGTTGCAGGGCCCAAGCACTTGGGCCATCCTCCACTGCACTCCCGGGCCACAGCAGAGAGCTGGCCTGGAAGAGGAGCGACCAGGACAGAATACGGCGCCCAGACCCGGACTAGAACCCGGTGTGCTGGCGCCGCAGGCAGAGGATTAGCCTATTGAGCCATGGTGCCGGCCTTTTTTTTTTTTTTTTTTTTTTTTTTCCGGAATCCTGTTAAAATGCAGTCTGATTCAGTAGGGCTGGAGTGGAGACTGAGGTTTTACATTTCTAACAAATTCACAGGAGGTGTCTATGCTGGTGGTCCTGGGACCACACTTTGGATAGCAAGAGATCAAATGCATATCTTTATGGGAACAAGGTCATTGTTGATCTTGGGGTGCTAAAGATGATTGAACCGTAAAACATTCCAACAAGTCAGGGCTTTGGAGTTGGAGTAGTATTAAAATGTTCTACTCAATGACTTTTTAAAAAATAGTCTCATATTTATTTTGGCATTACAAAAGCATAAGTATAGAGTCCAGATGCATGCACGTGGCAGAGGGGAAGATGGCATGGGAAAACCACTAAGCTATCCTTAGTGAGAAACATTTTCAGATCATTGACAGAACTTGTTGAATTGGCCCAGATTGAGCTGGGTGCTTCAGGAAAGACTAAAGAATTGTCTCTCCTCAAAAGGCAAGTAAGATTTGCACATTTGAATGAACTCTAATCTGTGAATACAAAATGTGTCACCCAAAACTGCTGAGCTCGCAGAAAGCAGCTTGCCAACTCATTGGGATAACTGCCAAAGTTCATCAGGGAAGGCTCTCAGTTGATCTCAGGAGAGATCAGCTGTATGGTTCAGATAAGAAACACTAAAATGGCTCAGAAAAGGAAGAAACTTTTAGTTTCCAGAGAAGACTTCACAGAGAGAGTGAGATTAGAGACAGCCAATTGGTTTAAATGTTAAATTGGCTGGGGTGGTGCTGTGGTGTAGTAAACTAAGCCTCTGCCTGCGTTGCTAGCATCCCTATGGGCACAGGTTTGTGTCCTGGCTGTTCCTCTTTCAATACAGCTCTCTGCTTATGGCCTGGGAAAGCAGCAGAGGATGGCCCCTGCACCCTCGTGGGAACCTGGAAGAACCTCTTGGCTATTGGCTTCGGATAGGCACAGCTCTGGCTGTTGCAGAAATTTGGGGAGTGAACCAGCAGATGGAAGATCTTTCTCTCAGTCTCTTCCTCTCTGTCTGTAATTCTACCTCTCAAATAAATAAAATCTAAAAAAAAAAATCCTTAAATTGGAAGCAAAGTAGAATTGTCCTAATCAAATGGGTGAAGCTGAGTCTTTACCCATAATGCCTTTGATGTAAACTTTATCATGTCTCAGCGTCTCTTCCTTAACTTGAAGTTCCTCTAGTAAAGATTAATTCATAAAATTAAGAGAGTGACATAAGGTAATGCCAGAGCCCAGACTCTATATCACAAAAGTTCGAATTGCCCCCTTGGTTAACATCTCAGTGCCAGTCTCTACTCTGAAATCTCTGCAGGAACTCACAGGCAATGATCAAAGTAATGCACAGTCTGCTCTTAGACCTACCATAGGAGCCTGCCTTTGCTACTGCAAAGGAAACGCACTGGCCCCATCAATGACCAATCAAAGGAAGGCCGTGTGCACTGTGGACCAATCAGTGACACACACAAGAGCTGGTCACACACTGCTCATCCCCAGCTTTGAACCATAAGATTCAGTGCCTTCAAGCCCTCTGGAAATCCAGGAATTGAGCCCCAGCTGCCTGACTCCCTGCTCTGCACTTTTATCTAGTAACCCAGTTGCAGTGGTTGGCATCCTGCACCTTGGGCAAAGAGACTTAGTTTTAGGGGTTCTAGAGTAACTCTTCCAACCAGTTTTAGAGTGTTCTATAATATGGGGATCTCTATATGGAGAGAAGTTGGGTGAGATCAGATTTCTAAGAAATGTAAGCTTTTAAGTATTGAGTCTATATTGGATGAAAACAATGTGTAAATTCACTTTAGCTTAACAGAATCTTACAGTAATTAGACAATTTTGATTTGGTGAGTCCAACTGTCTTGCTTTATAGAAGAGGAAACAGGCTGCCTGCCTCATAGGAGGGCAATATCAAGGAAGAAATAAAGCAGAAAAGTGGGTTTCTCCTGGGGAAGTTGCCTGTTGAGTATGGCAGAGCATGGTACAAGAAAGCTGGATAGTACTGCTTGGTTACATTTATTGACAGTGGCTCATGGTAATCATAATAATGCTCATAACAATCATCATTATCTTGTATTAATATGAAATCGCTGAAGAAGGACAGATATCAAAGCAAAAGGCAAAGCAATAGGATATGGTTCAAATATTAGAAAAGCTAGAGAATGGGAGAGAGGGACCATAGACCACATTGTGTGTGTGTGTGTGTGTGAAAGAGAGAGAGAGAGAAACATTAATTTCCACTAGTGTTGTTAGGAGTACCCACTTTGGGTCCTTCAGTACATTTTAAGAAGGAGGAAATGGCTCTTTTGGGTCCTTCAGTACATTTTAAGAAGGAGGAAATGGCTCTTTCCACATCAATCCTGTTGTGTCTCAATTCTTAACAACTGAGTTAATGCTAAATTTATAGTCACCCCTCATTCTATAGCTTTGCATCAGTTATTGACTTTCTCGATTAGGTATGTGGTCTTCCTTGCCATATAAAATCTAAATCAGATTGCTTTGAACTTCCCAGTTCCATAGCTTGTGGAGGTCCAAAGCAATCCCACAAACATCCTTTCTGACTTCAGTCCTCTAGCAGTTTGTTCCTACTGTGTGGTGTCCAGACCCTTCCTATCTTGCTGGGTGCTCCCATAGTCCCCTTCAAGTTGTCCTGGGAACTGCTAAAATCTCCTCCAATATGCACAGCATGGCAGAGCTCCTCAACTCATGCTCCCAGCCATTCTGCTCAAAATGGAGAAATAGCATAACTCTTCCTTGGAAGAATTCTCCTTCAAAGACATTGAGATTAGAGAAAGTAAACAGTCTTTCCTAGCATATTAGAAATAGACTCTAAAACTATTGTCCTACAAATCTCTAAAGCAGATTAACCTCTTTTAGATTTCACTGCTACTGTCTTTTAGGATGCAAGGATCATTTTATAACCCTTAACTTGTTTATTCTTATTTGTTACAAGATCAACCTTTTAGAATATGTATTGCAGAAGTGTGACTTGATGGGTCTTGTGACCAAGACTATTGGTTAGGACCTAATTTTGTCTGAAGTTGTGCAGTAGACTGGCCAGAGTCCCCAGAGGGCTGAGTCAATGGTTCCTAGATGATGCAAATTTTAACCAGTTCTGATAGCTGAATGGAAAAAATATTTTCCCCACTTAAGTGAATCTTCATAATGTGAATATAACCTAATATGCTTTGATTTGCATTGAAATGCAGTAATTAATTACCTAGAAGACCAAAAAACAGAACTGTGAGGCACAGAACCAAGAAGTCCCTTCCTATTCATTGTAATGTATACGAAAGACAGAAAGTTCTTCCTTGGTCATTGCCACTGTGGTCTGATTGAATTATTTTTACACTAAGAATGGATTTAGCTATTATTATAAGACTTCTACTTTTGAATGAGTGATGGTTCGTAAATTGTTATATTTGCATTAAAATATTGTTATGTCCATAATTTAGAAAATTATATGGTTTAAATATTAAATTAATAGATTCATCATGAATTACAAGAGTGCAGTATGACTTGTGCTACATGTTTTTGCTTCCTTGAGTCCTTCTTTCCTATAAAATAGCAAGTATTAATAATTAGATTTTATAAATATATTGGGATAAAGCTATATTGGGGGCTGGTGCTGTGGTGTAGTGGGCTAAGCCTCCACCAGCAGCGCTGGAATCCCATATGGGCACCAATTCAAATCCTGGCTGCTCCTCTTCCAATCCAGCTCTCTGCTATGGCCTGGGAAAGCAGTAGAAGGAGGCCCAGATCCTTAGGCCCCTTCACTCATATGGGCGACCTGGAAGAAGCTCCTGGCTCCTGGTTTCAGATCGGTTCATCTCTACCAATCAAAGTCATTTGGGGAGTGAACCTGCAGATTGAAGACCTTTCTGTCTCTCCCTCTCTCTGTAACTCTACCATTCAAATAAATAAATAAAAATCTTTTTTTTAAATTTATTTAATGAGCATAAATTTCCAAAGTACAGCTTATGGACCATAATAGCCTCCTCCCCCCGCCCCCCGTGTCTTCCCTCCCATCCACAACACTCCCCTCTCCCACTCCCTCTCCCCTTCCACTTCACATCACAATTAATTTTCAATTATCTTTATATACAGAAGATCAATTTAGCATATGTTAAGTAAAGATTACCACATTTTGCTCCCACACAGAAACACAAAGTGTAAAATACTATTTGAGTACTAGTTATAGCATTGATTAAACACCTAAGAGTAATTGTGTATTAATTACAGAGCTCAACCAATAGTTTTAAGTAGAATATAAAATGCATCTTTTGTATTGTTGTGGCTTCCCCCCTCCCTCCCTGCCTCCCGTGGCCCTCCCCTCACCCACTTCCTCTCCCATCCCGCCCTTCATCACGTTTCATTTTCAGTTACCTTCATATACCGAAGATCAATTTAGTATATACTAAGCAGGGATTTCAACAGGTTGCACTCACACAACCGAACCAGGTATAGGGTATTGTTCGACTAGTAGTGTTGTTTTTGAGTTTCATAGATAAACATATTAAGGACAGAGATCCTGCGTGGGGAGCATGAACCCAGTGACTCCCGTTGTTGATTTAACAATTGGCACTCTTATTGATGACGTCAGCAATCACCCGAGACTCTTGCTATGAGCTGTCTAGGCTATGGAAGCCCCTTGAGTTCACCAACTCTGAATTTGTAAAAATCTTTTTTAAAAAAAGCTATATTGGGATAAAGGCTGGATTCATCATTATACAATATTTATTATTATTATACTTATGTTTTTCCTTCTGATTTTTAAAGTAAACTAAAAACATTCTCATGGATTACTTAAAAGTATTGTAAGCCCTAGAAGCCTAGTCTACCTTGACTGATGGGCCTGATGGATTGTCCTATAAAGTCAGAAGCAACCAGCAAGCATCCCAGTGAGGGTGGGTCCTACTCCTCCTACCAATCTCCATCCCTACCACAGCCACATTATACACACACACACACACACACGCACGCATGCACACACACACACCTGCACACACACACACCTGCACACACACACACCTTTTCCATTGGACTGAAGGTTTTCAAAGTAGCCTCTTTATTCTAGTGATGCTGTCATCACTGAAGTTTTTCCAACAGCTTAATTTGGAGACCTAAGATGAAAATATGACATTGATGATCTTGTTATCAAAACAAAATTTTCTTTTTAAAAAAGATTTATTATTTATTTTATTTGAAAGGCAGAGTTACAGAGAGAGAGGGAGAGACAGAAAGTCAGAGATCTTCCATCCGCTGGTTCACTCCCCAAATGGCTGCAATGGCTGGAACTGGGCCAGACAGAAGCCAGGAGCCAGGAGCTTCTTCTAGGTCTCCCATAGGGGTACAGGGGCCCAAGCACTTTGGCCATTTTCTGCTTTTTTCCTGGGCACATTAGCAGGAAGCTGGATTGGAAGTGGAGCATCAGGGAATTGAACTGGCACCCATACAGGATGCTAGCACCTGCAAGACAGCAGCTTAACCTACTATCCCACAGAACCAGCTCCCCAAATTTTCTTGATAAAAATAATATTTTAGCTGCAAGAGAAGAGTCTGATTTTTATAGTATCAAATTTGGAAAAAAAACGAAATTAAAACTTTGGCATTGAATTACATGTATTTGGCTAAACTGTTTTTTTTAAAGGCCATTTAGCTAAATAGTTATAAAACTAAGCTTATAATCTTCTGCTAAATAATGATTGCTTTTTGCAGAATAACTTAGAATTATAGCTTTATTTGATCCAGAAACATTGTCTACTTTATTTTTCTTGCAGTATATTCTTTCTATAAGCAGAGAAAATTTAAACAAGGATCTATTGAATGGTAAGTCCAATGATTTTATTTACCAGTTTCATTTTGGGTTAAGTACACAAGGCTAATTTTGTCACATAACTTGTTGGGATTCTCTCATTAGTCCTTTATATAAGTTATAAATAGTAATACTATGTACATTACAAAGCCCTTCATTTTTAAAATTTATTTATTTATTTGAAACACAGAGTAACAGAGATAGAGACAGACAGACAGATCTCCCATTCACTGGTTCACTCCCCCAGATACCTGAAATAGCTAACAGCTGGGATTCCAAAACTCAATGCAGATCTCCCACATAGGTGGCAGGGAATCAAGTACTGTTGTTTTCCAGGATGTGCACAAGCAGAAAGCTAGAATTGGGAATGGTGCCATAACTTGAACACAGGCACTCTAATATGGGATATGGGCATCGGATGTGGCATCTCAACTAACCCACCAAACACCTGCCCCACAAACTCCTTCTTAAAAAGTAGTAGCAATTCAGCCTCTGGTGTCTTGTTTTCACTATAGCAGTTTTCCACATGAAAATTGCTTGTCCAACATGCACTACATTCCTATTTTCTCTTGAGCACTGGAATGAACAGGTGTTCATTCTTCCATGAGGAACTCAGAGACCAGTACAACAGATAAGCTCAAGCGATTTACAAAGTCACATGGTTATATTTGCATTTCATATACATGAAAAGCATTAGTATGGAGGCTGATAAGACAGCTACAGTCTTTTGGGAATTGTCTTACTTCCTGTGTGAAAAGGGAGGCCCAGGACTAAAACTATGATAGCTGTAGCAAAGAGTATAAATTCATGATATTTGTAGGAAACTAAGTAGATAGAGATCTGAGGGTTAGAGAGAGGAAAGTGTGAAATATAACCCTGACATTTGTAATCTGAGTAACTAAAAAGACCTATGCTTTAATGCAAAGCTACTGGATTGTAAATTAAATTTGTAGTTGAATAATCAATCCAATCATACCTCATGCAACCATTACTAAATTTAAGCCTAGGTCATAATAGCTCTTCAGCATTTGTACTCAACAGATTCATTGCCAACAAAGCATGACCTTCTCTACAATGTTTTCAACCAGTTCCTCTTTATGTAGACCAATAGCCTTTGATCTTTGAAGGGGTGAGTTTCTACAGAATTTGTCTTTGTGTCTCTACAGTACCTTCACAAAGTGGATTTGCAATGTCTCTCAAATTGAATTTAATTGAGTCAAACAAATTGTATTGAACTGGGAGACGGAGTGTGATGGGGAATTTCATTCTAGTTGATTTACTGAGGACTCTGAAATAGAGCTTAGTATTCTTCTGAATTCCATTTCTTTAGTTATATTTAGCAGCCTGTCTTTTGGACAAGTAGATGGGTGGGATGGGGTCAGCTTGCTAAACGTATTCACACTGATCTTAAGAGAGCAAATGAACCACATTTAAACAGCTTTTCAAAGGTAACTTCTTTACAGTATCCTCTAAATTTACTAAGATAAAAATAATAGCAAGCCTTATTTTTAAGCAGTGAAGCAGCAGATATTATGTTTAAGTGCTTTATTTCTATTAATTTATATAATCCTAGCAATAATGACATAAAAGGAATTATTTTTATTTTGGTTTCATGGGTGGTGAAATGGAGGCCTGAAGAGATTAGGTTACACTGTTAAACTTGTAAACTCTAAATTTGGCCTTGAGCTTGTTTATGTCAAAGCCCACACTTTGAACTACTACAGTTTCTTCTCCAATATTATCTATAAAATATCTGCTGATGCTCAGGGGTGAGATGGGAAAGGTGTAACCTTGATGTGTACAATAGGAGGTCATTATTTTTCTTTAAGAAAGTGCTGCAATTTATGCCATTTCATAAATGTGTTAGTAAAATGAATGTTGAATCTCTTGACTCCCAAATTTCATTTGGCAAATAAAGTTCTTTATTTTTTACAAGGCATCAAATGTATGAACCACCTGTTCTACACATTTAACTAGTTAATTATAAGTGTTCATTTCTCTCCAACAGAACAGCCTCCTTTCTGATCCTAACTAAATAATCTCTCTGCATCAGTATTTCGTGTAGGATTGTTTCATGGTTCACTATTCTATAGGATGTTAATAGTTGCTACAGAAAACAACATAGAAAAATGATATATAGTTTAGCAAATTTAACAAATCCTGCATCAAAAAGTTTTAAGGGATGGGAGTTGTGGCACAGCAGGTAAGCTGTCACTTGGGACACAACTGTCCCATATCAGAGTGCCTGATTCAAGCCTGACAATTTTGTGCTTCCAATCCAACTTCTAACTAATGCACCTGGGAGGCAGTGGCTGATGGCCCAAGTACCTGGGTTCCTGCCACCCATGTGGGAGATCCAGATTGAATTTCCAGTTCCCTGGATTTAGTACAGCTCAACCCAGCCATTGACAGCATTTAGGAGTAAACCAGAAGATGGGAGCACTGTCTCTCTTCCCTCCCCCTGCCCTGCCTTTCAAATAATTTAAAAGTATTTAAAAATGAAATTAATTTTAATATGCTATATTAACCTAACATATCTAAAATAATGTTATTTAAGTATATAACCAATATAAGCAAGTTATTTGTGGAGTGTTTTCATTGATTTGTTTTTTTGTTCTGTGTAAAATTGGTCATGCAACTGTACACAGCGCAACTCAGTTGAGATTGGCCATATTTCAAGCACTCAGCAGTTCATGTGGCTGTGTCCAGCACAGCCCAGGGCCAAGAAGGCAGAGTAATCAGCATTTCTCAACTGTCTTTCACCACGGCACAAGGTTTGCACGGAGACTATCCCAAGACCGGTGTTCTGGTGAAAATTCTTTAGTATATAGTACTATACATTTAGGTAGAAATGAAATAAGATTTGAAAGATATCCTTAGTGTATCAGGTAAACTCTGATTCTCCAAATTTATTTGTCAAAGTATTTCTTATAAATAGAGAAGTTTCTTTGATTTAGGATCTCTCAGACTTTAATATTCCAAACTTCCAGTCCCATATGAGACTCTCAAAATCTTCAAATGCTGAATCAACCTCAAATAACACAGAGCAGAAGATGAAACCTGGGGCCAACGCTGTGGCGAGGTGCTAAGTCTGCACTTGTGGTGCCAACATAACATGTAGGTGCTGTTTGGAGTCCTAGTTGCTCCACTTCTTTTTTTTTTTTTTTCTTGACAGGCAGAGTGGACAGTGAGAGAGAGAGACAGAGAAAAAGGTCTTCCTTTGCTGTTGGTTCACCCTCCAATGGCCAGCGCGCTGCGGCCAGCGCACTGCACTGATCTGAAGCCAGGAGCCAGGTGCTTCTCCTGGTCTCCCATGCAGGTGCAGGGCCCAAGCACTTGGGCCATCCTCCACTGCACTCCTGGGCCACAGCAGAGAGCTGGCCTGGAAGAGGGGCAACCAGGACAGAATCCGGCACCCCGACCGGGACTAGAACCCGGTGTCCGGTGCCGCAGGCAGAGGATTAGCCTATTAAGCCCCGGCACCGGCCCTAATCCACTTCTAATGCATCTGAGAAAAGCAGAAGAAAGCCTATGTCCTTGGGCCCCTGCACCCATGTGGGAGGTCTGGAAGAAGCTCCTGGATCTTGGATTCAGACTGGCTCAGCTCCACCTCTTGCAGCCATTTGGAGAGTAAACCAGCAGGTGGAAGATCTCTATCAATTCTCCTTCTCTCTCTCTCTCACTCTCTCTCTCTCTCTAACTCTGTATTTCAAATAAATAAATAAATATTTTTTAAAAAATAGATGAAACCTAAGATGAAAAGGAAAGAGAAATATAGATATGAATATTAAATTGGAATTCAGAATATCTTGCTTATTTCCCCACTTTCTTCTCAAAGTCAACAATTTTCAATCAAAAATTTTGAAATACAAGAAGTTGTACATAATTAATGTAAGTGATGAGTTTGCCTCTTAATTTTTTTGCTTTGTATGATCTCAGGGATCTTCTGTTCCCTTCAAGGGTCTTGATTACCCTAAGATGTGCAGAAAGATTTCGAACTAAATCAAGTCTGAGGTCTACTCCAGCTCTTATCTCTGTATTCTATTTTGATCTTTTTTGTTTGTTTTTAAAGATTTATTCATTCATTTGAAAGGCAGAGTTACAGAGCCAGAGGCATAGAAAGAGAGAGGTCTTCTATCCACTGGGTCACTCCAAATTGGCCGCAACAGCTGGAGCTGCGCTGATATGAAGCCAGGAGCCAGGAGCTTCTTCCGGGTCTCCTATGTGTGTGCAGGGGCCTAAGTCCTTGAGCCATCTTCTACTGCTTTCCCAGGCCATAGCAGAGAGCTATATTGGAAGTGGAGCAGTGGGGATTCGAACTGGAGCTCATATGGGATGCCAGCACTGCAGGTGGAGGTTTTACCTGCTATGTAATGGCACCACCCCTCTGCTTTGTATCTTTTAGGAACAATAAATATGCTATAATTGCATATTTTCTAGTCATGAGCATCAGAAGGAACAAAAATTATTTTACATCTGTCACAAGCATGTGATTAATAGTTCAGATAGTGAAATTCAATCAGTTTTATAGGTTAGTACCAGGAAAAATAGAAAGGCACTGAAATAATTTGGTTCTATTTATTGAGATATGTCAAACATCTTACTAATTTTTCCCCTACCTATTCTACTGTTTGCTTCCAAGAAGAATTAACTATCAATAAACCTATATTTGTGAAAACTAGAATCAGTAGTCCAGAGTACTTGCTAAAAAGAGGTGCAGAAACATGCATAATAAGATGAAAGGAGCTTGAATATTTCCCATCACAAATAAAATCTTAAATTAGAGACAACTGTTTAAATATGTGATGTCTGCTTCTTCCCAAGGGTGCTAACTATTCCAGTGATGGGCATTTGTGTGATGAAATTAGTAGGATTTTTTTTTAAAGATTCATTTTGTTTATTTGACAGGTGGAATTACAGACAGGGAGACACAGAGTCAGAGTGAGAGAAAGTCTTCCATCTGCTGGTTCACCTCCCAGATGGCTGCAAAGGCCTGGGCTGGGTCAGGCTGAAGCCAGGAGCCAAGAGTTTCATATGAGTCTCCCACATGGGTGCAGGGCCCAAGTACTTGGCCCATCTTCCACTACTTTCCCAGGCCTGGTAGCAGGGATTGGAAGTGGAGCAGTTAGTTTCCAAACTGGGACCCATATAGGATGCTGGCACTACAGGCAGCAGCCTAACCTGCTTTGCCACAATGCTGGCCCAGTTGGATTCTTTTTAAAATGAGGCTAGCTGATTTTTATTCATGTTTCACTACAAAATTAAATCAGCACACCTGCCAAACAGTCATCAAATTACCATTTCAACAAAAATTCATTTTTACATTGTTAAGAACAAATACCTCTATAATATTGTACCTGGAAAGTGACTAACATTTCGATCTGATTAAGTGACAATTTGATTAAATGACTTAACATTTCAATTTGATCAAGTGTATTTTTTGTTTTGTTTATTCTCTTCTTTCCTCAGCTGTTGAGAAATACTCCAATGCCAAGGTGCACTTTGGCCACAGGCTGTTGAAATGTAATCCCGAGGAAGGAACAATCACGGTGCTTGGGTAAACACGAGTCAGGCTTTGAATTTCAGAGGTGAAGGTTTAGAGGGGAGAACTGTCTGTACTTTGTTGTTTTGGCTCTTTTGAAAGGGTGAAATGATTAGTGAGAGGCAATCCAAAGAGTTTCCAGATTCAAGGAATTTTAGGTTGAAATGAACCATAGAGGCCTTCTGGATACAAGTCAGTGATTGTTCTTAACCTTCCACGGTGTTCAACATCGGTGACCTCACCCACTCTGCTTCAAATTCTCTTCTCCCTTGAAATAGGTAACACTCCATGGCTCTACTCCTCTGTCCTCTTCCCAGGTGCTATTTCTTTGCTTCTCCTTTGCTGATTCTATTTCCTCTAAAGTTCCAAGTCCCATATCCCATTGTTGCAATATGTCATGGATTCAGAGTCATGGGTTCAGCAACCACTTCTGGGGTAGAAATTTCTAGTCCAGACCTCTGTCTTCATTCTCAATTGTTATCTGCATCCTACTGAATTAGTGTTAATTTCCCCTAAGACATCTTCACAGGTGTATCTTGTCGTTATCTCAAACACATCTAAAGAAAGCCTTGATCATCTCTTTCTCCCAAAACATGTCCCAATTCCTGGATTTCCCTAGTACTATTGCCCAGACAGACTCATTTACAATGTGCCCTTCTTCCGATTTTCTCCCATTACATTTAAAAACACTCTCTTATCTTTATTCTTCCTTGTGGGTTTTGGAACCTGTCTCCTTTCTCCCTGCGGCACTGCAGTCCTCCAGGCTCTATTCCCTGCACGTGTAGGCCATTGCCATCCCCTTATTCCCATTGTCCCCTACTTCGACATTCTGCTGCCACTTCAAGCTTCAAGTGAGCTAGCTAGCTTGCTTGCTTGCTTGCTTGCTTTATTTAATATTTATTTATTTATTTGAAAGTCAGAATCCAAAGCCAGGAGCCAGGAGCTTCTTCCAGGTCTCCCACAGGAGTCCAGAGGCCCAAGAACTTGGGCCATCTGTTACTGCTTTCCCAGGCCATTGCAGAGAGCTGGATCGGAAAAGGAGCGGCGGGAACTAGAACCGGCACCCATATGGGATGCCGGCGCTTCAGGCCAGGGCATTAACCCACTGTGCCACAGTGCCGACCCCCAAGTGAATTTTCTTAAATTACCATTCTTTGTACATCATTCTCCTAGTGGAAAAATGTTTTTTTTTTTTTTTTTTTTTTGCCAGAATAATGTATATGGACCTTTTATCTTCACATCCGAAATTATCTTCTGCTCTCTCCTTTCCCTCCCCACACTGCATTCTTTTCTTAAACTTATCTTCGGATACCCTCTGTTCATGTCAAATGCATTACTCCAAGAAAATTCTGGTCCCATCCTTGCAATTGTTCATATGCTTGGAATACACGAATGTATTGTACATTGGAAGACCTTGCCCTCTTTGCAAGATTCTCTTCCTTCATGCCGACAATTCAACTCTTTGACATATCTCCATGGCCTAGTATGTCTTTACTAGTAAGTATGGCTGTGTATTGTTCTCACTCTTAAAGCAAACCCATAATTAGGGCAATCTTTCCATCTCATTTTGTATCTATTGTTAGATATGTAAAAGTGACTTTTTGAGTTACCCAGTTGAATCACTACTTCTCACACTCATTCACCATTTTCACCACTATCCCTTTTGTGTGTGTATGTGTGTGTTCGGTTTATTCTCTCTTTCAGACCTGATAATGTTCCCAAAGATGTCACTTGTGACCTCACTGTAGGATGTGATGGAGCCTATTCAACAGTCAGAACTCACCTCATGAAGAAACCCCGTTTTGATTACAGTCAGCAATACATTCCTCACGGATACATGGAGTTGACTATTCCCCCTAAGAATGGGGATGTAAGTCCTTTCTCTTTTTCCATGTGCATGTAGGGACATATTCTAGTGTGGTAGTTCTCAGTAACATGTGTTAACCAGTTTTTAGGGCTGTCATAAGAACCTTTTAATTAATAACAAAATTGGATGTACCGGTACCTCTTTAATAATATCACTCTCACTCCTTACCAACACCCTATTGGAAACCCAGAGGCTATTTATGTTACATAATACTGTTTATCTATGCTTTTTTTTTTAAAGTTTAATTTTTTTTGTTACAGGCAGAGTTAGACAGTGAGAGAGAGAGAGACAGAAAGAAAGGTCTTCCTTCTGTTGGTTTACCCCCCAAATGGCCGCTACAGCTGGTGCGCTGCACAGATCCGAAGCCAGGAGCCAGGTGCTTCTCCTGGTCTCCCATGCGGGTGCAGGGCCCAAGCACTTGGGCCATCCTCCACTGCCTTCCTGGGCCACAGCAGAGATCTGGACTGGAGGAGGAGCAACCGGGACAGAATCCGGCGCCCCAACCGGGACTAGTACTCGGGGTGCCAACGCCGCAGGCAGAGGATTAACCTAGTGAGCCATGGCACCGGCCTATCTATGCTGTCTTAAAATAAAAACAAATAAGCTGGGAATAAATTTTCCAGTATATTGACAATCCAGAGTTCTTATATCCTTGACTGAATCAAGTAATAGTTATTACATAAAATGACTAGTAAATTATTGCAAAGAGATTTCCATGTGTTTCTCATTCCCTGGTCCTTATTGTTAAGCCATATATGATCAGAGGCAGGTAAGTGGATGCTAATTTTTATGTTATCATCAGAAATAAATGTAGGACAGTCTTAAGGAAAATTAAAATACTGACAGAAGCAATAAGAACTTTTTGAAGCCCTCACATATTTTTTGATATCTAATAATCTTGAGAACCTCGAGGGCTTATATAAATTGGGTATTTGGATCAATCGATCTACCCAAGCAAGGAATATTTACTCAGGGATTCTTACTGAGAGCATTGCAGAGGAGTCACAAGACTCTTCTCTACTCTTTATTTTATAGGAAACAGATGATAAGAAGCTTATTGTAAAATTTGTTTGGCTCGTGAAATTTGAACTTCGGATCTTTCTGTTCAATTTAGATAAGCACTCAAATAAGGCAAAAAAAAAAAAACCTAGCTAAAAACATTACACCCACAAATACATATACATGCACACACAAACACACACACACCCCTACTCATATATTTTATCTACATATGCTTGTATGTATAAATGTAAATACATGTATATCTGTGCGTGTGTGTCTGAATGGAAAGAGAGAAAACATCTTATTGCAGTGTGTCTTCAAATTGTGAATTACTCTTGGCATCAAAAAAACACCTAACATGGAGTTTGTAAAGGCAGAACACAAAGATTTCTAAGACTATCCATTTACATAACAATGGACATGCATATCACCATATACATAACAGTGGTTTAAGTTATATGGAAACAATTATGAAGTTTTATAGATGTGCTGTATTGATGCACTAATCAAACATACATATGCTTTTGTTTCTGCAGTATGCCATGGAACCTAATTATCTGCATATTTGGCCTAGAAATACCTTTATGATGATTGCACTTCCTAACATGGTAGTATAAAGCTTTTTATCAACTGTAATTTTGCATCTGTAATTAGTGTTTTCCATTCTGTACATTTTTTACTTAGTGTGTGTAGAATTTTTTTAATTTCTTTTTTTTAAGATTTATTTTATTTGAAAGGCAGAGTTACAAAGAGAGAGGGAGAGACAGATAGATCCTTCATCTGCTGGTTCACTCCCCAAATGGCTACAACAGCCAGCCATAGCCAGGAGACAGGAGCTTCCTTACAGTCTCCCATGTGGGTGCCTGGAGGCCATCCTCCACTGCTTTTCCAGGTACGTTAGCATGGAGCTGATTGGGAAGTGGAACAGCTGGGACTAGAACTGGTGCCCATATGGAATGCTGGCACTGCAGGTGGTGGCTTTACCCATGAAGGCACAACACTGCCCCAATCTATTCACTTTTAAATCTTTGAAACTCTGGGATTTTGAAGGAATCCAATTATTTACTTTAAAAAGCAGATTGGATTTACCCGAACGAATAATGGGAGTTTATATGTGGTGGTGCTAGTCAGTTCCGGTAAAGATAATGCTGGAGGGGCAGGCAGCGTGGGGTAGCAGGTGTGGCACCAGCATCCTATATGAGCTCCAGTTCAAGACCCGGCTGCTCCACTTTGGATTCAGTTCTCTGCTAGTGTGCCTGGGAAAGCAGTGGAGAATGGCTCAAGTAATTGGCCCCTGAATCCAAGGGGGAGACCTGGAAGAAGCTCCTGGCTTCTAGCTTCAGCTTGGCCCAACCCTCGCCATTGAGGCCATTTGGGGAAGTGAACCAGTGGATGGAAGACTTCTCTCTCTCTGTAGCTCTGTCTTTCATGGAAGATTCTGTCTCTCTCTGTCTCTCCATCTCCCAATCCCTCTCCCTCTTTCTCTGTAATTCTTTCAAATAACAACAACAACCTCAAAAAAAGTGCTAGAAGAAATGCCCCTCTCCTCCAACTAAGAAAGCCAAAGACCTTTAGGCTATATGATAGGAAGTTAGTTCAGTCTTTAAGGGTTGTAGGACACTGGAATGTTATCAAAGAAGGGCATTGCTTTTCTCTGCATGCTGGAGAGTTTTCTTCTTACTTGTTTGTTTCTCTGGTTGGTTTTTGTGCTTCTGGGGTCCAATTTATATTAATCCTTTCTTAAAAGGAAGAAAACGAAAGAGGAGAAATCAAATCCAATGATCCTGTTAGTAATGTAAGGAGTGCAGTATTCGCTTGCTGAAAATAGAGAGTGTACCGTGTAGAAGTTTCTCTAATAACCAAGGAAGCTGGGGACCACCCCGGGGCTTGGCAGAGGTTTTCTTTGTGAGAGAGGGGACAAGCTCATAGTGCCTTTCCTATCTATTTGGATTTTTCTTCCAGAAAGTCTAAGATCCCAGCAGGAAGTCCTGTAATTTAGGGCTCCACTTTTAGTGCTGGCCTGGCCTGGCTCCTTATTCTCTCACACTGTTTCTCTTCTCGCAGAACAAATCTTTCACATGCACTTTGTTCATGCCCTTTGAAGAATTTGAGAAACTTCTAACCGGTAGTGATGTGCTGGACTTCTTCCAGAAGCACTTTCCAGATTCCATCCCTCTAATTGGAGCGTAAGTTTCCAGATGGACAAATGTGCCTTTTGCTCTGTAGGCTTGAGTTACTCCAAATTCAAAACAAAGAGTATGTACTTTATTCTAGTTTTGGTAACAGATAAGGCCCAAAATCATATGATGAAACTCAAATCCCAAAGATGATGGTAACCTAGGGCAAAAGATATTGTGCTGTGAGCAGGAAGTTTGTAAATAAATAAATAAACAAACCATAACATGGCTGACTTCTGGAAAAACAAGCCACAATGCCCCAAGGCTTTTATGAATCTTGTACAGTCTCCTTGGGGCCCTCTGGATTTAGCACTGTGTCACAGGGACTGTGTGTCCTTCTACTGGAAGACACCCAAATCTTTGGCATAGAAGACACAACCAGCAGTCTCATAAGCTTTCTCCTGTCTCAGATCTCTCATGTTAAAATGCTGGTAAGTAAGGATCCTTACCTGAAAAGGATATCGAGTATGAAATGAGGCATACCTATAAATCACTCAGCACAGGATCCAGCCTGCATTAAGGTCCCCACAACTGATAGCTAACTGTGTCAGCTGCCTAGTTTATCGCTGTTCCTCCAACTCAGGTCATAACCACCCTCTGGATTGATTTTGTCCTTTATTCTAATTCAGGGTCTTTTCATTGTGTCTTCACATGAAAGAAGGGCCATTAGTTTCCTCTAGGGTCCCCTGGAGGGGCACTAACCCCATGCTGAGGGGTCCACTTCATGACCTCCACTCTCATAACCTTCACCTTGGGGATTAAGACTTTAACATGTGCGTTTTAGGAGACTGTAAACACTTCACCTACAGCAATGTTTTTGACCCTTACTTCCTTAAATCTTGGTATTAAAATGGATAACAAGATACCTCCCTTTGAAGGCAGTTGTGAAAATTAAGTGAACTAAGTATGTGAAACAGATAACCACTGCTGACCCATAGCAGATCTTTAAAAAATTGCTAGCTTGTATTTTTCCTGCAGACTAATGCAATCATTTTAGTATTTCCTTCTCTAGCCTCAAATGGAGATCTCTGTATGCATGTGAAAATTAGTCCTTACATAATTTTTAAACTTGTGGCTTAGCTTTTTCTTGCCTCTTCAGCTAGATCCCTGTGGATATATACTGTATCTCTGTTTACACCTCTACTGATGCTTTATAAATGCTAGGTTTTTATTTTTTACTATGGTCACCATGTTTTACAATAGATCTCTTGAATTTATTCTTCTTGCCTAAATGAAATTGTGTACACTTTAATCAATATATTCCAAGCCCCCCAAACAGTTTATTATTGTTCATTTCCAAACACATAGGGATTAACATTTTAAAATTTTGTTTTTTGTAGTCTAATCAAATGCACAAAAGCATTTGTTAATTTTTCCTGAAAGCCTAAACTATACCAATACATTATAAAATTCCATGACCCACGTGAATGATAATAAAGTTTTCATGACATATTAGATAGGAATGTTTAAAATTAATCAGATATAGATAAACTGTTCTTTTTGGATGCAAATAGCATTGTTATAAATCAAAATGTAATTAGAACAATGGAATTTTAGGTGTGGAAGAAACTTGAATTTTTCTCTTTCTTCCTGGCATTCTTGTGTATTTTTCACACAAAAAATTCCTGTTGTGATGAAGTCAATAAATCTGAAAGGACTAAGCAGCACTTAACACCAGATTTAACATCTTCCTGTTCTTTTCCTCAAAGGCAAGCCCTAGCACACGATTACTTTCTGTTGCCTGCTCAGCCCATGATATCCATAAAGTGCTCTTCTTTTCACTTTAAATCTCACTGTGTGCTGATGGGAGATGCAGCACATGCCATTGTGCCATTTTTTGGGCAAGGAATGAATGCGGTGAGTTCTTTTTCCCTAGGTAAGTTGCTGAAATGTTTCCAGGTCTACCTCAACTAATGTGTCCTAAAGAAACAATATTGGGAAGACTATCCTGAAGAACATAATGAATTAAAAAATGATTCCAGCTGTTAAACTACATTGATCATCAACTCTAGGCAGAATATGGATTACTTGATCCAGTAGTCTAATGTAGAAAAAAATCCCATAAAGCATAATATAATATTGTGTTTAGTTGGAAAATGCAATAGCTTGAGATTTGGAAACTTAGCTATTGATGATTCAAGACTTAATCTTTAAAATACATTTTTCCTGACATTACATATAAATTTATCATGTTAGTCTTAAAGTACAAAGAGAGTTACGTTTATTCTCTACTTTTTTTCCATAGGAAAAGGAAACATGATTGATAGGGTTACATAAAAGTATGAAATGCATTAGCTGTTGAATAAAATGGCTTTCATGGGAAAATATTGAACACTGATTTTAAAGAATCCTAAGTTAATTGTGTATATGTGTGTGCCTGCAAACTAATAGCTTTATAATTTGGTCGTATATTGTGTTTGGTTATTGCAGTAAAAATAGCTTATGAGTCTGCTCAGTAATATTTTCCAAAAAGCAGTTGTAAGCACTTTTTATATATAAAAACATAAGCAAATATCAACTGTAGCATAGAGGATGAGTGCCCAGAACCTAGCATTAGAATCCCTGGGTTCAAATTCTGGCTCCAGGTTTTCTACACAGTATGATACTGTACATCTCACTTACCCTGCCTTTGCTACTTCTTCTATAAAATTGGAATTTTTAACACCTACCTATCTCAGAGATCTGTAGGAAAATAAATGAATTAACTTAAATAAATAATTGAAAACTGTTATCTCTGCCTCATATGCTTTTATTTCTAAATTTCTGTAAAATTCAGGACCTATGTAATTTATTTAACAAATTTACTTGCTTCAGATGCAAATAAATGTTGCAAAGATATGTCTTTTTCAGATTTTTTATTGTCAATAAAAGTATAGTTTGAATTCCTAGAAAATAAGAAACACAGTTTTTAATTTTCTTATTTCTCACTGTATTTAGCATAGTACCTAACTTATTTTGTGGACTTAGTGATTTGAATATTTGCTTTGATCTTGAGTTATAGAAATATAACTTAATATGGGGAGTATTTTTATCCCATCATTAAGTTGCTATAAATGTGAATCTTAAGCATCTGAATATTTTAAATATAATTCTAAAACTCCTGGTAGAATAATATATTCATTCTTCTCAATATAACCATGGAATATGTCAAGATTATAATAGTAAAAGACATTTTGGTCAAATTCAAAATCATGATAACTGATATATACATGAAGTGGGCAAAGATAACACCAGCAAGACATGCACTTGATGTCTTTAGAATCAGAATTCAATACCAGTCAACAATCATCTCTTGTTACTGTACATTGATGAGGACAGACAGCCCATGAATGATACTCACCAGTGGAAGATCTTTCAAAATTGCTAAGATTTTATTGTTTTTGGTTTATTCCCTCTACTCCCCTCCTCCCTTTTTTAATTTCAGGGCTTTGAAGACTGCTTGGTATTTGATGAGTTAATGGAAAAGTTCAATAATGATCTTAGTAAGTAAAATTTTTCAATTGCACCTGGACTAGCCCTGCTGAAAACTTTAGGCCAGTTTCTGATCCTCAGTGATCAAAAACTCATGAAGTCTATTGCTTGTTCAGGATTACTCACTTTTCTATTACAAGCCTATGCCACTCTTGTTGCCTGTATGAGATTATGAGCACCTAGTTAGAGAAACAGTGTTTCTTTTAAGGTCTGTGCATGGAATTACATAGAGGGATCCAAAGGTGAAAGTTCAGAGAACCAAAGCTTGGCTGAGAGACCCTCCTTCCTCTCCCTTTTCAACCTGGATAATGCCCCCACCCCCACCCTCGCCATGCCCCCTACCACATACCCTCAGAAACACCCCTAAAAGCTCCAGTACTTTCTTGCTGTTTGCCTTAACAGTAGTTACTTCTGATACATCTGTTTGGTTTTTGATTAAAACGGATTCAGCCAATATATTTATTTTACAAATGCTGAAGTTTTAAGTTTTTATGGAAAATTTGGGAATTAAATTAAATCAAATATATACAATTATATATAAGCTGTCCCTTGGTATCTGAGTGGGATTGGTTCCAGGACCCCCACAGATAACAAAATCAGGCACCGGGTTCTAGTCCCGGTCGCTCCTCTTCCAGTCCAGCTCTCTGCTGTGGCCTGGGAGGGCAGTGGAGGATGGCTTAAGTGCTTGGGCCCCTGTACCCACATGGGAGACCAGGAAGAAACACCTGGCTCCTGGCTTCGGATCAGTGCAGCACCAGCCAGGGCGGCCATTTGGGGAGTGAACCAATGGAAAGAGGACCTTTCTCTCTGTCTCTCTCTCTCTCACACTGTCTGTAACTCTACCTGTTAAATAAATTTTAAAAAATAATAAAATCTGCACATATTTAAAGCCCTTATATAAAAGGGGATAACATTTCCATACAACCTAGATGGAAATACCTTTTGATATAAATCTCCCTTCCATATATTTTAAATCATTTCTAGATTTCCTTATGGTACTTCATACAATGTAAGTGCTGTATGATAGTGTTACCCTGTATTGTTTATAGAATAACGACAAGGAAACAAAGTCTGTATGTGTTCTGTAGAGATGCTATTGCTTTTTCGTGTATTTTTCCATCCAGTGTTGTTCAAATCCATGCATGCAAAACCTGTGGACATGGGGGATGACTATATGTGCAATTAAAATTGCAAACAATAGCCTAAGAACTGCGAAACCTTTTCCTGGTTTGCAGCATCACATGTTCTCAAAGGCTACTTCTGAATTTATACCTGTTTCAGCTAAGGGATAGACTAGAGAACTGGCCATAAACTTATACTCAGATTCAAGTCCTGGCTTACCCTCTTAGCTGTGTGATCTTCAGTAAGTCACTTCATCTTTCTAAAACCTCAGTCCTTTTTCACCTACAAAGTGGGGTTATAAGAGCAATGTAAGAACTGTAAAGATTAAATGAAATAATTTATGTAAAGATTTAAAAGGAAAACAAAAGCCTGGCATAAACTGACCTCAAAGTACGTGTAGGCTTTGGCGTTAATGAAAGTCAGTGGACATTGGAGAGTAGATCTGAAGAGAGTGGGGGTGTTTCAGAGTAAATTTCTCCTCCTCCTCCTCCTCCTCCTCCTCCTGTTCCTTTCTTTCCCCATCTCACTTAGATGCTCAGGATCCAGAGGCATCGTTTCCTCCCTTTTTAGCCTGACTATGAAAAGGGTGGTGAGAGGGTTCATACAGATATCAGAGCATACTGTCAACACTGGTTTTTGAGTACTAGAAAATGAAGACAAATCAATAATAATCATTAGTAACATACTGAACATTTAATACGCATTAGTATCTTCCTTTTTAAAAAAATGTGTTGTCTCATTTGGTCCCACAAGAAACACGGAACATAATAATATTCTGTCATCATTTTCAAATGGGGAATTCAAGCTCAGAAATATATTAAATAATTTACCCCAAATCATGCAGCCTCAGAGTGATGAAGCTGGAACTTGAATTCAGGATTTTTAACTTCAGAAAAGGCCTCATGACAACTAATCGATCATTGTGTGAAAGCAATGCAAGTTAGTCATTCATCTGTCAAACATTTATTCAATATTTACTACTACCAGCATGAATAAAACATGAAAGGTGTCCTCTAGGGGAAGCTGATATCTAAGCTAATAATATGTTTTAGATACAATGAAACAAATGTGCATGGGATACCAAAGGAGCATAGAAAAGAGAGAAGCAGACTCAAAGAGGGGCTACAGGTCATTGAGTATCATTGATGTGAACTGTTTCACACTTATGAATAAAGACAAATAATGTTTTATTAATAATTATATAGTATATTAACTTTAAGTTTTATTTAATCACAACAGGAAATACCCTGTGCATTGCTCAAAAGTTATAGATTGTTGGTCATGCAGAATGGGTACCTATAGTTTGAAAAGATTAGAGAGAACATGGGTATTGAATATATAGTTTGGGGGCTGGCGCAGTGGCACAATGGGTTAATGCCCTGCCCTGAAGCGCCGGCATCCCATATGGGTGCTGGTTCGAGACCCGGCTGCTCCACTTCCTGTCCAGCTCTCTGCTATGGCCTGGGAAAGCAGTAGAAGATGGCCTCCTGGCTCCTGGCTTCAGATAGGCATAGCTCTGGCCGTTGCGGCCATCTAGGGAGTGAATCATCAGATGGAAGACCTTTCTCTCTCTCTCTCTCTCTCTCTCTCTCTCTGCCTCTCCTCTCTCTGTGTAACTCTGACTTTAAAATAAATAAATAAATCTTTTTTTAAAAAAAAAGAATATATAGTTTGAACTGTGTACAGCCCAGCACATTTTTATAGACTTTTGGAACAATATATTATTTAACTTGGTTTCCAGGTATATGTCTTCCTGAATTCTCAAGATTTAGAATTCCAGATGACCATGCAATTTCGGACCTATCCATGTATAATTACATAGAGGTGAGTGAGAAGTTTCAGCTCCATCCCATGAGGTGATTCATAGATACCTTGAAAATGTTCTTTTGATTTTCTTTTTCTTTGCTCTATCCCCATCTTACACATGCTGCTTAAGAATAGATATAAACACACACACACACACACACACACACATGTTCCTATACTTTAGGAGCATTTTAAAGTAATGGCAATTACAAAATCACTGATAGTTCACAGGATCAAATACTGAATAGTAGAGTTAGTATTATGCTATGTTAGTGGATGTGTTGACATATTTAGGAAATCTAAGAAATGCTGAATGACCTTTCCATCTAACATTTTAACTCTGCAAATTTAGAATATCCCTTGGAGCTTTATGCAATGGAAAAACGGTACAATATAAAAAAAAATTTGTACTTTCAAAAATCCATTAATTCTGTTTTGAGTCAGTCATATGGAAAGCTCATGATAGTGGTTATAGTTATAGTTTTTAAGCAACAACAAAAAAATTCACAAGATAAATTTAAGAAAGAAAGCGACACACTGTTTTTGCTCTCTCCTGAAGATATAAAGAAATAAAAATGAGTTCAGGGTAAACAGAAGATAACTAAAATGCTTTAGTGATGTATCTAGTCTGAGTACTTAAGACAGGACAGCAACAAGATATTACTTGTCCTGAGTAATTAGCAGGTCAAGACAGCCACAGCTTCAAATAATCCCTTGTTGCCATAAACAGTATTACAACCTAAACAAGACACAATAGCAATTGGTCAAATCTGTGGGCTCACAGATTATTCATAGATATGGTTGAACAAACCCTTTGCTGAAATACAGTTCTTATAATGACCTCTGAATAAAATAGACCTCCCTAACAGGTTTTGTGTATTTGCTATACATTTTTCAAGATACTATCCTGTTTTATTGACATTTCTAAAAGGGATTTGAAACAACCCTTACGGAAATAAGAATTAGACCTTGTATTTAACATTGTTATAAGTGGGAATGCAGAATAATAATAAATTGTACAAAGTAAACAGAGGTACCTGTATTTTGTTCAAGATACTCTTTTAAAAGTTCTCTTACACTGTTGCAGATGCGAGCACATGTCAACTCAAGGTGGTTCATTTTTCAAAAGAACATAGAGAGAGTTCTTCATTGTATTATGCCATCTACTTTTATCCCTCTCTATACCATGGTAAGGTCTGGATTTAAGATTTTCCCCCATTTTAATCCTCTGTTTAGCCATTAAAGAAAATACAAGAATACTCTTTAAACTTCCCTACAGGTCACCTTTTCCAGAATAAGATACCATGAGGCAGTGCTGCGCTGGCATTGGCAAAAAAAGGTTGGAACAGCTTATATTTAAAAAAAGAAAAAAAAAACAACTCATGTGTTGAAGTGTTACAGTGTTCTGGTTATGTTTATGTCAAGTATGGAAACCAAATTTTATCTTCTGAAGAAAAAGTGTCCTGAATACACAAAGGGCCTAAATAACATTACAAAGACAAAGCTAGTTACGAGAGCTTTTGAAGGGAAGAAATTAGAAAAATAAGCGGATGGTACTACTTCTCAACTTTTTGCTTTATTTTAGCAATGTGGACCATTCTTGACTTTTGATTTGTATAATATTCTATGGATTTCATTTGTAAAATTGGAACTGAGTCCCTTATGAAATCTTATCCAATTCTAGTATAATGCTATGATACATTCATTTTGGGGAATTGTCCCAAAAGGTGCCATCAGGTAGAATTCAGATTTGTGATCTTCCACTTTAGGAATTTTGCAACTTCACTCATTCAACAAATAGTTTTATTTACTGCATCAATACTGACCTGAACATAGTAATGAACAAGACACAAATCCTTTCCGTCACATGTTAAAGGGTCTAGGGAGACAGAAACCTGCAGTGGAGAGCGATAAACTGACCTGGGGAGAACAGGGGTGGGTAACATGGCTAGCGTAGGAAGGGCAAGTTCCAAGGCAGCATAGATGTGTAAGAATGGCCATAGGCAAAGATGGAGAGACAATAACAGGCTTAAGCATCTTCAATATTCTTAAAATATACAAGGAGACCAGAAAAAAAAGGCTGAAAATTCAGATTTGAATTTTAGAAAGGTTACTTTGCTGTATGGAGAATGGATAGGAAGGAGTCAACATTTATCTGTGAAAAGATGATTAAAATAGTTTCTGACCACAAGAAGCTGAAAGTCTGAAAGAGAAAGACATTGGCAGGCGATTAGAGTGAAGGACAAGTGCTGTGACAGAAATGGGTGGTTAAAAAACTGAATTACTATTTTGGGTTAAAGAACAAAAAGGAAAATGTATACATCTTTATAGTTTAAAACTGCAGTCTATTTCCAGATTAAATTCTCTAAACAAACAAAATGAGAATCTTTGCTGTTCTCACAGGTGATAAACAGAGGACTCTTTTTCTTTGGATCACTGATCGCCATTGGTGGTTACTACCTACTTGTACACTACATGTCGCTGAGACCTCTGGACTACTTGAGAAGACCATGGAATTGGATCACTTACTTCCAAAAAGCAGGACCTCGTTCTCTAATAACTCCAGGAAATCACTAGAACAGATTCTGTTTATTTACTAGATGATATAAACATTCTGAAGTAGCAACTGATTCCTCTGTGATCAAAATTAAGGATCGAAACCATGTCTCCATCATTATATTTAATTCATGATGGGAAGATAATTGTGAACTTATAATTAAATTCAAATGTAGACTTTCCCTGTGTTGATTGGCAATTATTTGGGGGAAGGGAAACTTTTTTTTTTTTAATTGCACCATATAGCTTCCTTACTACATTCTGCCTGCTCAGGTTGGGTCATTCTAAAAATAAAAGTGCAGTGACTAAGATCTCACTTCTCAACAAAGAAGGACCCCAGAGGCATTAGGGAAGATACTCATCATGGTTTTCCTTTGAAGGATAAAATAGGACTCACAATAGGCTTTGTTCAACGCTTGGGACTAAAAATCACTACTTGCCTAAAATATCAACTGTACTTTTCACCACCTGGATGGAACCGTCTAACCACAGGGCTCAGATTCACTTGATAAAACCAGAATCAGGGGAGTTCCAGAGACTTACAAATAAATTGATTTTATCTCCCTGTCTTCAAAGGCCAGTGTTATCTCTGAAGATAAGAAAAGGGTTATGAACCCCATACTAAGTGAAGGATAGGGAATGTTTTTATTCATAAATTAAATATGTACACATATAAGGGTGCTTCAAAATGTTCTTGGAAAATGGAATGAAAGTTTATTTTGATGCAAAGAAAAACTTTCGAATCCACGCATAGGGGTCATCAAAATGCTTATGGAAAATAAATAAAATGGAAAAACTATGCACGGATTTCAAATTTTTTTGCATCAAAGTAAACTTATCTCTTAATTCCATTTTTCATAAACAGTTTGAAGTATCCTCATACTTCAACAGTGGAGAGGAAAAAAGGGGAGACAGTTTTGGTAGAAATATTAAGCCATATGTTTAGAAATATTAAGCCATATGTTATTCTTGTTCAGACACTCAAAAGCAATTCAGTAGCTTATTCTTGAGCTACATACTGTGGCAGTCCAGAAATAAACTTGATTTTAAAAAGTACATATAATGAAACATTTTCTTCGGTTCTTCTGTCTTCAATAGGCTGATGGAGTCATTTAGAAGTCCTTCAAATGTGAATAATTATGAAGATCCAACAGTCCAGGGAGAGTTATCTAATATAAGAATTAGGCAACAAAGTGAAAAAATTCAGTGTTTCTTTTCTACATTGTCAAAGAAATTCTCGAGTTCTAATAATCCATGTTTAGTTTGCAGGGAAGGAAAAAGTAATTTTTACTTTTATCCATCTTGGATTCATTGGCTGGGATCCCGATGACAAAACACAACAAGAGAAAATCAAACACAAACAAAACTTTATTAACCTGTATTTTTCATATGTACATGGAAGATACACAGGGAATGAGTAAATCTCAAAGAGCTGGCTTAGATGTTCAACAAGACCAAGTAAAAGGGCTTGGAGCCTGTAGCAGTGGCAGATCATGGAATGGAAAATAAATGGGAGTTTACCAAGATTTCTCTGGTGCTGTCTCCAGGTTACGAGAAGTCTAAGGTTGTCTCTGGTGATCAACTTTTCCTCTATGGTAGATTGGGAGAGGACAGATTAGTAAAGGTCTGGCCTACTTTTAGGCAAACAGAGGGAGGGCAGAGAGCTTTCTTTGAGCTTCTTCCCAAAAACAATCATATGAAAATAATCATTTTGAAAAAGGAACATATTTAGTGGTTGTAGCACATTATAGTCTCCTGTGAGTTCAAACAGTCACCTGTGGAAAAATGGCCTGTCTGGCAACACTGACCATGAGTTTTCCAGCGGACTGATTGATGAGTAACAAAGATTAAATAATATATTCCATGAATACATTTCTATACTTCAATTCCTTCAAATTTAAGTTTGTTTGTGTGGAATTCCTTTTCTAAATCCAGCACTCTTGGGAAAAATTGTGGAAAATCCTAGCATTCTCATGTTTGAAGTGAAATAGATGGAGAAAGCAAGGTGTCATCATCGTCATCTTCACCATGTACATCCTCCAAAATTGTAAAATTAGCTATATATCACGATTACCTTGAGATTCACCATCCTGTTCTCTTTGCTGTGATGTGTCTAGGTAGTATCTTCAAGGGCATCCTCAGCAGTAAATTATTCTGAGACTCCTCTTATACTACTCATCTAACAATTATTCTGGTTCAGATTAAGTTACGGAATTCATTTTCTTTCCACCCTAGAATTATCTCCTTCATAAATATGATTTAGTCAAACATATGACACAACACTGAATAGAACCCAACTCCACAGAAAATTCAAGATTTTCTAATTATTTGACACATGTGTATGAAACAAAGTTATTTTTACAGTGAAATATATTTGAGAAAAATGTAATTATGTGCCTTGGAAAATATAGCTATTTAAAAATATATTTAAAATGAAAATGTCCCACACGTTAGAAGAGGATGGTGCCAGATGCCCATCTTGTGCCACAAGTTGTTTTTCATTACATAAAGCACCCATTGAATTAAAAAATTTGTCTTGCTCAAATGCTTCCTGAGGCCAGAGAGTAATTCAGATTTCCTGCTGGGCCACAAAAGTTCTGCTGATTCACATAGAATGGGTATTTTGGGACAGTCTTTTTAACGGAAGTCTATACATAGTGTCCGATTTAAGGCTCCCATCTTTCATTACTATTATTCATTCCTATAAAGGACGAACTTGGATTACATCGACCTTGGGCCCACTGGCTTTCTCATTGTCATCAACTGCTAGTGATTCATCACTGGCGATAATGAAAATGATGGAGGAAGAATTAAAAGTCACTTTTTTCTTTGGCCTGTCCCCATCTTTCTGTGACATCACAATGGGTCTGATTTGCATTTCACTCCCAACAGTTGGCAGGTCTTTAGGAGGCTGCTGGCATCTCAGTGGCTGGAAACACAGGAGCTGCAAAAGGGATCTTCGAAACTGGGCAGAGAAAAAATAAAGTTGAATATTAAGTAAAAGTCTGGCCCACAATTTGGATTAACATGCAAGAAAATTAGTTGAGCTTAACACGTTGTTTTTTGTTTGTTAGCTGATGTGGGTGTGGAGTTACATGATACTGTTCATATCTAAGTCACTGCGGCATTATATGTCTTATTTTAATCCTTATTAATTATAGGACTATTTCAATACCTTAAAATCTCCATAGCTTCAATTTGCATGCATTGTCTATGAGGGCAGCTGTATTTGTTTCTCTCAGATATTTTGAACATTAATTCAGTCCACAAATATTCAGTGAGCACCTACTAAGTTGTAGTGCTATAAACGAGTGAAATGGTAAAAATCAGACAAGTTGCTTCCTGGCAGAGATTAGAGCATGGTGTGCTCACTAATGTTCCTATAATTATGTGAAGAATATTTTTCTATCAAAATCACAAATCATTTGGGGAAAAAAATACTACAACACGGATTGTTAGTGTTCACCAGTACGCATAATTCTTCCCTGTGTCTGGAATAAAACACATTCTCCACATTCACAGCTCTCTTTGTTCTTCCACTTCTATGAGAACCCTGGGATGTCAAGGTCTGAAGATGGAAACATCACAGAATGGAAGGAACTTAGATTCCTAAATGACTTCCTTAAACAGATTCTATCCTCCATTAAATGCATGAGACTGAGGACTCTGATTTGAGTGAACATAAACTTCCCTTTAATACACTCAAACATTGAGGTTGTGATCAGTAAAATACACAAATCAAAGGCCAATTTAGCTGTTATCCTTTTTTTTATAGAAAAAAGTTTAGTACCTATGCTTTCCAAAATCAGGAAAAATCAATTAAGAAAATACTAAGCAGCTACATCGATTTCTGTTTTCTTATAACCAAGTTAGCATTTAGTTTATATGCATACTTTAAAATATTCATTTGCTTCAGAATTTATTCACCAAAACATTATTTTGTAGGTCAGGTTATGTGTGCTAAAAATATTCTTATTATAAAAGCTTACCTGTGTGTATGACAAAATTTTTTTCTTATGTAAATGGTAAGCTCATTGACAAGGGCCATTGTCTTATTTGTTTATCATATCTCTTAGATTTCATTTTTTAAAAAAATTTTTATATGTGTATTTGAAAGGCAGAGAGAGACACACACAGAGAGAAACAGACAAACAGAAAGACAAAGAAGAAACTCCCAAACACTGGTTTTCTCCTCAAATGCCCAAAATAGCAAAGGTGGGCCACAGCAAAGCCAGGAGATTGGAACTTCATTGGTTCTCCATGTGGGTAGCAGGGATCCAACTATTTGAATTATCATCTGCAGCCTCTCAGATACACATTAGTAGGAACCTGGACAGAAGAGCAACAAATACTGAACCCAGGCACTTCTGTACAGGATGCAGGCATCCCAAGTGGCAGCTTAACTGCTGAATCAGACACCTGTCCCTGTATTTCCTGTTTAAAGTGTGCTTCTGGATTCCAGAGTCATCAGGACCATGCAGGAGTTTGTTAGGAGTGCAGAATATTGTGTACAGACATTCTGAATCAGAATATGCATTTTTAAGAATATTTACAAATGTGGCATATGCACATTAAGGTTTTAAAGACATTGACTTAAAGCCCATTAGCTGAGAGAAAGACTGCAACTAATAATTGTTAATAAATGTGTTTGATATTTGCCTACTAAGGTGGTGGTCCTTAAAATATCTTTCACTTCTATGGAAAATTCATTAAAGTTACAGTACTTTTCACTAGAAAAAATTTACATGTGCACATGATTTTAAAAATTTATAAACAATTTGAGGAGATTCAAAGGCTCTCTGGAGACCAATTCAAGGGATTTTTTATATTCTGATTACTTCAAGTTTAATACCTCTGGGTTAAAGGAAACAGACTAATGGAAGGTGACATGAAAGGAGAAGACCAGCCATGTGAGAGTGAATTCATGGAGAGAATACACCAAAACCAATAATATTCAGAGAAAAGGAAAGGCATAGAAGAGAAAGGGAAATTTGGCATTGAACACAATAAGGTTAATATAAAGGGCCCTCTTCTTCCAAACTCTTGAGTATTAGAAGGCAGAGTACTTACTATTATTTTTTAAAGATTTATTTTATTTAATTGGAAGGCAGAGTGACAGACAGAGAGGGAGAGAAAGAGGTCTCTCCATCCACTGGTTCACTCCCCAAATGGCTGTAATGACCAGGTTCTGGAGCAGGCCCAAGCCCGGAATCTGGAATTCCATACTGGTCTCTCACATGGGTGGCAAGGGCCCAAGTACTTGAGCCATTTTCCTCTGCTTTCCCAGGCACATTAACAGGGAATTGGATTGGAAGCAGAGCATCTGGGATTCCAACTGGCACTTGGATATGGGATGCTGGTGTCATAGGTGACACCACAATTATGCCCTATTACTGTGACCTACTACTTTTAAAATTCCAATAGAAACATTAGCAATTCTTTAAAACTTTTAAATTCTGTGATCTTTAAATTTAGAGCTTCATCTTTATATTAATCATACTGCAGGCTTTCACTGCCAAGACTGACATCCATCAAGTCAAAACATCTCTACTACAGAAACAGATAACAAGCTTCCCAACAGACCTACAATTTGGCTACATACTGGTCATGGCAGGTGAATAAAAGCCCAGGTTGATGGCTAAGAGTAATGCCAGGTAAGGAGGTTGGTAAGCACTGAATTTGTGGATTCAATCAAACCAGGATCAAATCATAGCACCAGCAATTCCTGGATTAGGAAAGTTATTTAAATGTTCTGAACATATTCCATAACCCGTAAACAAAACAGCAATACTAGTTTGTATTTCATGGGGTTTTGTAAAAACAGTTTTGGGGCTAGAGTTGTAGCACAACGAGTTAAGCTGCCTCCTGCAACTCAGGCAACCCAAATGGGCACCAGTTTGAGCCCTAGCTGCTCCATTTCTGAGCCAGCTCCCTGCTAATGTGCCTAGGAAAGCTGAGGAGGATGGCCCAAGTGCTTGGGCCCCTGTTACCCGTGTGGGAGACCTGGATGAAACTAATGGCTCTTGGCTTCAGGCTTGCCCAGACTCAGCTGTCACAGCCATCAGGGGAGTGACCTAGCACATGGAAGATCTCTATCTCTCCCTCTCTCTGTTTTTCAAATATATAAAATAAATCTCCTAAAAATGCAGTAAGAATTCTAAATGTATTAACTTTGTGACCGTTATTATTACAAAATATAAAATATTTCTGATGAATTAAATACTAATTTTAATAAAACTGTACCTAACAAATGTGAACTTCTATTGGCAGATGTTATCATTTTCTTTGGAAATATCCTGCCTATCTTCCTGAATTCTATCATCAAAACTGTTCTGAATTACTTCTCTAAAAGTCTTATAGCTACCAGCTCCACCCCTAACATGAAAACAGTAAGTCAATTACAAAATTTACCTTTCTGATCATGAAGATGTAAATAATTGGATTGTATGCAGTGCTTGATTTACAAAAGAGATATGAAACAATAGATAGTGTTGGCGTGACCAGGTGCCCATAACCATTAACCACCAAGAAACAGATTACAACATAAGGCATCCAACAAATCAGGAAGGTGAAGACCATAAAAAAACACATTTTGGCCACTTTCTTTTCATATCTCAAAATCTTGATCACTTGAATTGTCTGAAGATCTTCCACACAACGAAGCTGCAGAGAAGAGAAAGAAGGGAAGCAGTTCCAAAGTGAATGAACTGTTTTTCACCGTTTCTATAGCAGATATGCAGACATCATTCTAGACCCTGCCTGAGTGAAAAGAGAACTGACCAGGACCGTGGGAGTCTGACTTGTGATTCAAGAGCTGTGGCCAAGCCCAGCTGTAACTTCCTGAGCCTCAGTCTCCTTATCTGTAATATGTTGTGGTTGAAACACATGGTCTATTCCATCCTTTAATGGCTTTTAATGCTTTTCTAATTTACATGATGAGAATAAAACAAATTATTTTGCTTAGGTTTCCAATCGCTAAAAGATAACCTGAAAGAGTCATGATAAAATGGAAACGATTTCGGTATGATCTTGGAAACTTCTATATCCAGATCATTAAGCCACAAGTCCTCAAACCATGCAGCAAACGTAACATCAGGTCAGGAGTTCTGCATGGTTAAATGTTTAGCTGATCTTGGTAAGAACTTAATTCCGAAATGTGTTCTTGCTGGAAACTACTATGTCTTTCAATTCACTGCTAATGACTACAAAGTGAGATTTGATGACTGTGTAGTTACTTTCATCAAAGGCTCACAGAGGACAGCACTTGGTAAAACCCAGGGAGTCCCATTCCTCTGAAATCAGCACATCCACTCCTAGTCTGTCCCCATTAAAGGTACCGAGGAGATACGACCCACAGTCTGAAAGTTCTTAAGAGTTTCTTTGATAAAAGTTTCTTTAGATGTTTCTCCTATTATTACTATAAATGTGCTATTAAGGTAAAAGGATATTCCTACACATCAAAAGTATATTCTAAAATAAAATGGTTACTTCTGAACAATCTCAGAAATTATACCAGTTTTCCTACAAAATACAATTGTTTTATACATTGCTCTTTTAAAAAAAAGATTTGCATATTTATTTGAAAGGCAGAATTACAGAGAGGCAGAGAGAGAGAGAGAGAGAGAGCGCGCGCAAGCGAGGTCTTCCATCCACTGGTTCACTCCCCAGATGGCCACAATGGCTGGAGCTGGCCCAGACGAAAGCCAGGAGCCAGGAGCTTCCTCTGGGTCTCCATGTGGGTGCAGGGGCCCAAGAACTTGGGCCACCTCCTACTGCTTTCCCAGGCCGTAGCAGAGAGCTGGATCGGAAGTGGAGTAGACAGGAATTGAACTGGCACCCATATGGGATGCTGGCACCGCAGGCAGCAGCTTTACCTGCTATGCCACAGCACCGACCCCTACATTGCTTTTTTAAAAGGTATGGTCCACGCAGTTGATACTTGGCCTTGAAAATTTTTAACTAGGAAACATATTACATTTTAATGCCTTTTAGTTCTGGCATTGCCATAAAAATTAGGGAAAAATTTTCCAAAGAAATCACCTATAATGTGTGGTATAGCTTTTTACAATAGATTTGAACTGATATTCTTAAACAGTTGAGATCATCTAAGATTATATTTCAGAAGCTATATTCCCAGTAAAATCATGAATTCAGACTGACAAAGAATAAAGAAAACAGAAAATTAAAGTGTTTTTTAGAACAGAGACAATAATGTGTGTAGAGGGAGAGTACATGTTAAATTTCTAGTATGTTATCCACATGTGTAACTCTGTTTTAAAATAAATTACTCTGTTTAAGTGATAAGATATTATCCTCTTTTCAGAACATAATGCTTTGAGGGGAGGGTCCTCCTTAAGAGTATTTAGGAAGGTTGTGGGGTTTTGGTAAAAGCTCTAGATGTGGGGAGCCAGTGTTGCAGCACAGCTGATTAAGGCACCAGCTGCAACGTCAGCATCCCAAGATGGGGCACCAGTTCCCAGCTGCCCCACTTCCCAGCCAGCTCCCTGCTAATGCACTGGAGAAAGCAGAAAATAGCCCAAGCACTTGGGCCCCTGCTACTCTTATGGGAGACCCAGAAAGAGTTCCTGGCTCTTGGTTTTAGCCCGGCTCAGCCATGCCTGTTGCAGTCATTTTGGGAGTGAACCAACAAATGGAAGATTCTCTCTCTCTCTCCCCCTCCCTCCTTCCCTCCTTCGCTCTTTGTCATTTTAGCTTTCAAATAAATATATAAATCTTTTCTTAAAAGATAAAACAGCTCTATATTTGGAATTAGATCTGAGTTCTTGTCCCACTTTTGCTGCCAGTGTGATACTGAGTAAGTCAATTAATCACCTTCTTTCAGAGTAAAGATGAGTGTAGTTAAAATGAATAACCTATTAGAATAAACATAACCTTGGTTCCAGTTCCACATATAGGACTTTGTGAGGTTGCTTTCAAGGTTAAATATTTATTTATACTTGAACTATATTTGAAACTAACATAATTATTATATACATATGTGATTTTATAATACTATAGGATATTTGGAATCATGATTTTTGATAGCTTGAAACTCTTCCAAGTCTCAATTAGTAACCACATCTAGTCATTTGCCTCCCATTCCATCCAATGCCTTAAGCCTCTGATACCTGGGTCTCAATAGTTTTATTGTGTCATTTTCCTGAGCAAGTCAGTTCTCAACATCTCTCACCATTTATCAAGTCAGAGTGCTTATTTATCATCTGGGAATTCCATGCATGCTAGAGAAGGTAATCTAAGCAGACATTGGTCTGTACTCTCCCAGTTCCTCTTTGGTACAAGGAAAAGTTATTGACCAATATTTCACACTATCTGGGTTTACACATGTGAAAATTCCATGATGTTTTTCATATATCTATTTCTTAATTCTTAGTTTCATCAGTCTCTATTCCTTCATTCTACTCATTAAATGTTTTCTAAGTAAAGAGCTCTACTTCATGTCTCACTCTTTTTATTCAATTATTTAAGAATATTTTTGAAAATTGCTACAGATGTAGCAAGAGCCGAGCACATGCACAAATTTGTCCTAAAAAATGAACCCCTTGAGATAAATTCTCCAGAATTCCTGCTACAAGCGTCCTCTGCCTAAATAAATTTTATTTATTGGTTGATGCTTAGTGCTTATTGATCTAGGCAACTGTCAGTTTTCAAAGATTTCACTGTGAGTCCTCGTTCCCAAGAGAGGAGCTAAGTCTCCGTTGCTGTTATGAGTCACCCCTTGCTGAATCAGGAAATAAGAGTTCGCTGTTGAGGCAACTGTACATTCTGAAGTCAAGCTTTTTCACACTTTCAGCAGTCGCCTCTATTCCTCTTTTTATGTCCTCTGCTTGTAATTTATCCTAAAAGTGTGATGGTATTTATTGTATGAGGGTCTTGTTCCCATTATAGGTGAAAAAATAAATAAGACTTATTCTCCGCTCTTAAGGAATTTGTTATTCAGTGAAGTTGATAGGCACATAGACTGATTCAATAAGTGACACCTGCCATGGGGGAGGTTACCAGGATGGGCATGGGAGTACACACAGCAGTTAGCCAATTCTGAGATTGGGTCGGAGTGAGAAAATCTTGATCTTAGCCTTCTAGTGTGAGGAGGAATTTGCCAAGTAAGAGGAGAAACAGAATATTCTAAAGAATGAACATGTGTTAAGGCAAGGAAACAAAACACATGAACGATTCAAGGACAAGAAATAGTGCAGCTGGACATAAGCAAGATGGCAAGGTAGACAGGGTACACCATACAGGATCTGGTCTTATTTTCCTTTATAAAGTCAATGGAACCCCTGAAGGTAATATTTGAGAACAATTACTCTGTTGGTTATATGCAGAGAATGGATTAGAAAAAAGCAAGATATAAAGGAAGGAGAACTAAGGTCTTTTTGAGTTGAGTTTATAGAAGCTGGAGTGGGAAAAACATGGATATATGGAGTAATATCTAAGTGAAATAGATAAAAACTGGCATTAGTTGGGTTTGGTGGCAGACACAGATGAAGAATAGTCAAAGGCTACTCCCTAATTTGGTGTAGTTTGCTAGGCATGATAACCATTCAATAAGAAAAGGAATGGAAAAGTATCAATTTTTTGGGAAAAGATGGCAAATTAATTTTCACATACATAAACTTGAGGAGACTGTGGGACACCGAAGTGAAGGTGTTTAATAGGCAGTTAACTATGAACTCCTGATAGAAGTCAGAAAAAAGACTTGAATTGCAAAAAGGTATTTAAAATTCAGCAAGTTCTTGTTAGAAGGAAAAATTCTGGCAGCATACAAAATCACCCAAGGACAGTGTGTACACAGCATGAACAAGAGCTAAGCATAGAAAACTGGACAGATCCAAGGAAGAAATGTGTTTGAAAGGGATGTGAGAAGATGGGGCCTGAGTAAGCAATAAAGACAGCAGAGGATGGGGTTCAACAGGCAATGGGAGGACAACATCACAAAGCAGTGGAAGCTGTCAACAGACTCCATGGTCATAGATTCAGAAAATATACAGAAATAGAAAAGTATCCACTGGGTTTAACTTCTGGCAGATCATTAATGACCTTAAATGAGAGCTATTTCAGTGAGAGTGTAGTAGAGGAAGTGGAAGAAGGCACAATTTGCAATGGGTTGAGGAATAAATATTGGATGAATTCACTAAATAAAAATTTTTTATAATAGAAATTTATTTCCCAGGTCCAGAAGCTGGATAGTCCAAGATCAAGGTGCTGGCAATTTTTTTCTGAGACCTCGTGTCTTGGCCACTATTTCACTGTGTGCTCATGTGACTTCTTCTTTGTACACACTTGGGAGAGAGTGAGAAGGAGCGGGGGAGGGAGAGGGTGAGGGAGAGAGAGAGAGAGGTTCTGCTGACATTAACACTCAGACCAGAGCCCCACTCTCAGGACTTCATCTACTCACCTAACCATAACTAATTTCTTTTTTTTTTTTTTTTTTTTGACAGGCAGAGTGGACAGTGAGAGAGAGAGACAGAGAGAAAGGTCTTCCTTTGCCGTTGGTTCACCCTCCAATGGCCGCCGCGGCCGGCGCGCTGCGGCCGGCGCACCGCGCTGATCCGATGGCAGGAGCCAGGAGCCAGGTGCTTTTCCTGGTCTCCCATGGGGTGCAGGGCCCAAGCACCTGGGCCATCCTCCACTGCACTCCCGGGCCACAGCAGAGGGCTGGCCTGGAAGAGGGGCAACCGGGACAGAATCCGGTGCCCCAACCGGGACTAGAACCCGGTGTGCCGGCGCCGCTAGGCGGAGGATTAGCCTAGTGAGCCGCGGCGCCGGCCTAACCATAACTAATTTCTAAAGGGCCCATTCTCCAAATACTACCAAATTGGGGATTAGATATAAACATATGAACTTGGGAGAGACACAAACTTTCACTCCTAATAGTAAGTAATCAATATGTTTTAGAGGCTCAATAACTATTGGTTAAGTGAATGCCTACTGAGTGACAATGTGGCACCAGAAGTTACCCACGATCCTTTTAGTTAACAATGAGTAGAAATAAAGTGACAGCAAAAATGAGCCTAGACTTGGTATTTAAGTTATCACACTTATAGACCAAAGGAAAAGAGCCAGTAGTGAGGAAGAGTTCGAAGGTATCGTAAAAGAGAAATGTATTACACTTGAGTTTCCTGGGGGCAGACAGTAGGCTGAGGGAACAATCAGAATATAGGATCAGTTTGGTATTGGGTTACAGTGCCTCTCACGCTGAAACTGAGGAGAGAGGATCAGTGTGGACATGCATATTTGTATAAAGTGAGGCGGGGAGATGAGGTAGTTTGTGCTATTGGCTTTATTGTATACAATAAATAAGAAATGTGATTATTTTGGATGGCTAGTTGGATAAGAGATTAAAGTCAGGATTTGTAGTAGCATGGTGTGGAGACCATGGACCATGTAAGGATACAAAGATTGCTTTCCAGGGCTGAGGGAACATCTGAGTATGGACAGGTATGGGTTTTCTTCCAGTTCCTCTTTGCAGCTTGACTACAGGCATGGAGAAAACAAATTATTGGATTGATTCAGGGATTTCTTTTAATAAAATGAATTTATATAAGGAAAATAGAGACAAGTTGAGGAAAATGAGTCATGATTTAAAGTGATGCATATGGCAACGTTTGGTTTGAAAACAGAAAGTGAGCAAGACTGGAGAGTTCTGATGAAAGCAGAGGACAGGTAAAGTAAGAGAGGCGGCAGTGAGTGAATAAGGAAATGTGCACAGCCCAAGTTAGAAGCTGGGGTATGGAATGTCCCCCCACTCTTTGTTAGTCTGAATGTCCTTCTAGTTGGTGCCCAACACAAGACATTTCTGTGCTCAATTCTTTTCCTTTAATTCTCAAGTGGCTGCCAGACAAAACACCTGTGCCATTCTCCAGCAATGGGTTCATGAGAGCTTTAAATCAATAACATTATGGGAAGTGTGGAATCCTCTTCTTTAGAGTTCTGGAATTCATAGAGTGCTGGATAATGTAGGGACTTTTATGCTGTTGTTGCTTTTTCTGTACAGAATCCCTTTCCTTCCTTCTTTTGATTTAGAGAATGATGTAAAGAGAGTAAATGTTAGTCCTCACTGATCTTTAGGAGAGTGACTCATAGTGCTTATACTGAAAAGGAAGTAAGAGAGACGTCTCCCATTGATCTTTTCAGAGTGACTCAATGCAAAATTCTACCCAAAAAAAAGGACTGTAGGAAGTCCCCTAAAGCTACTTCAGCCCTGTGAAAGTACTAATTACACAGAAAGACTTTGATTCTTGCCCACACAACATTTCTCTAGGGGAGAGGCCTTCGTAGTCTTCAACTCACCATTCGAACTGAATACAGAATATGGCCATAACAATGGGCTATGACACCCACAGGCACCACCAGGCAGCCAAGAAATAAGAAGAGCACAAAGGAGGAGTCGTTGGCATTCTTGGATTTCCAGTCCACGGTGCAGCCTAATCCGTGTATGTCCAGGATGTACCTGTTCCAGCCAAGGAGAGGTGCTCCAGCCCACGCCAGTGAGTAGAGCCAGATGTAGGTAATGGCCCTCCAGGCCCAGGAAAAATTGATCACTCTTGCATGGACCACACGAATATAACGTTCATAGGCCAGCACAGTTAGGGTGGTAATGGAAACAATCCCTGCAAGAAGAGAAATTGGAAAAGCATAGCATGATGCAGGGGTAAAACAGAGAGGTGATCAATTTGCCACAGGAAATGCCTTACAGGGTATCTGAGACAGATGGAGAGCTCTAAAAGCCCAAACACCTAGGACTAAGTGCCCTATGGGCCCCAGAAAATTGGGTTGGAAACATATTTATCCAAAGAAAAAATATAGTAGGAAATGGCATGTCGATTTTAGTAGGACAAAAATTAAAGTCTTACAATCAGCCCTGCCCTAATACTGCAGTTTTCTGTCAAAAAACAAACTCCAGAGCAAGTCAGAGAAAGTCATTAGAAGTGTATCTTTCAGGCCAGCGCCACGGCTCAATAGGCTAATCCTCCACCTAGCGGCGCTGGCACACTGGGTTCTAGTCCCGGTCAGGGTGCCGGATTCTTTCCCGGTTGCCCCTCTTCCAGGCCAGCTCTCTGCTGTGGCCCAGGAAGGCAATGGCAGATGGCCCAAGTGCTTGGGCCCTGCACCCCATGGGAGACCAGGAGAAGCACCTGGCTCCTGCCTTCGGATCAGCGTGGTTCGCTGGCCGCAACGTGCCGGCCGCAGCGCGCCAGCCGTGGTGGCCATTGGAGGGTGAACCAACGGCACAGGAAGACCTTTCTCTCTGTCTCTTTCTCTCACTGTCCACTCTGCCTGTCAAAAAAAAAAAAAAAAAAAAAAGTGTATCTTTCAGTTTGCCTTCTCTCAGCTATTTCTGATTTAGCAATAAAGACGTAAGTTCCACAAGGTGGAAGTGACCAAAGTCATGGTGAAATTATGCAGAGTTGCCTTTTCATGCCTGCTAGCAGGTATCAACCTATAAGCTATCTCCATGAAGGGACTGCGGCAAGGGGAGGGGAAATATGTTCTTCTGTGCTCCCATAGCCTTCTTTTACACCTCTATTTTGCAACAAATTGACTTGAGTAATATTATTTGTGCATTTCCCTGTTGCTTCCAAGGGAATGATTTATTCACTCAACAAGCACCAACTGATTACCTATCATGTGCCAGACACCATGCCCATCTTGGAGGCTCCATGATGACTAAGAGATATAACTCTGGATATTGGAAAGGTATGCAGATGCATAAACAACTATGCAATATACAATAGATTGGGCAAATGCTGCAGCACAATGTACTGTAGTCATTAAAAAAGGAACATTTGTGTACACAGCAAAGCAAGAGGAATTCATTCCAGAAGAATGAATAATTACACACCAGAGGGTGGAGGCATAAAAGGACATCAAAGGGCATACAAATGATGACACGATTTGGAGATGCTGGAGCTCAGAGAAGATGGAGGGAGAAATGTAGAGAGAAATCTAGGGAGAAACTTAGCCACATGGAGAAAGCTTTTAATTTCTAGCTAAGGTGATATTTTGTTTATTTGATTAACATTTTCCTTTAGGAAATAGATATTTTTAAATCTGATACTCTCTTGCACTTTTTTAATCACAAAAGTGACAGTTCAAACCAATGGTTCAGAAGCTTATATTACCATAGTTTTAATGATCTTTGATTACTTTAAAATTGAGTTTGTATGAGTGAAATGGTCATTTTTCTATTCAATTATTGTGTATAGCTGTTATCTATATTCCCATTAAACCAGGGTCTTTTTGCTTTTTACTTGCCAAACTTCTTATTTGGTGATGTATTAAACCTTTTTTATTCTAATATAAATTTAAAATATGTTATCTCAAAAACTAAAAGAAGAAAGGGAAAAGAAAGGAGGGTAGAAAGGAGAAAGGGGGAGGGAGGAAGGAAGTAAATGTCATATGTTCTTAGAATCGTACCTACAAACCATATTGAATCTGTTAAAAACTGATCTAAAATTTTAAAAAAGTGAAGAAAAAAATTCTGAGTATGTCATACCATTTGGTATATAATCATAAGTACTGCTTCACTGAAGCATACCTTGTACATGACAATATATCCTTCTTTCCCAAGCTATGATCATTATCATGAATTTCTTGCTTTGTGACATTAATATCTCTTTTCTCAAGACAAATAGTATATATGTATTTATATAAAAATGTTTACCATGTTCCTAAAGTTGTAATTATTAAATATATTGTTTGTATTCCTTAAATAAAAGGTTTCTGGGGGAAAATTTTAAAAAGTGTATTAAAAAATTAAAAAATGTTTACATATGAAATGAATCAAAGAATATTAAAAACAATTACATTTTGAAGCTAAAAATAATAAACTCATAGGAAAAGAAAAAAATAAAGTGACAGTTACATTTTCTTCCTTTTCCTCATTTCTGCTTTGAAGGTCAGTCATTCTCACAACAATACAGAAACACATGGAAACCAGCCTGAGGACTGTTTATTGCACTAGTCCAGCAAGATATGATGGGGCCTCAACAAGGGTAACGTTAAAGGAATGAACAATGAATTCTGGATGCTAGAGTCATTTAACAACTAATATCAATAGAATACAGCCATTTATTAAACAAATGAGTTATTTAATAAACAAGCTATTAAAACTTAGAAATTTTTAACCTGTCTAGTGAGTGGAGGGTGCTCACATTTACCAAGATTAGAAACTACAAGGTATATAAATGAACAAATATGGGGAAGAAAATGGAATTGTGAGCTACCTAGAACACATCAGCATAAATATTTGTTTAACGTGTAGATGGAAAGAGGTTGAAGGAAAAGTGGCTTCAAAACTGAATAAAAATAAGACTGGTCTCCCAGGAAGTAGGGAGGCCTGGGGGCAAGTTCTAGCTCCCACTAAGCCGCTCTATGCCGTAGGAAATGATAGGCTCTTTAGACTTCAGTCTGTTATTCTTTTCCCAAAATTGAAAATCTCTTTATGTTATAAAATTCTTTGATGCTGGATTACAGAAGTGTGAAATGAAGAGACCCTAGACTCGGAAAGCACGGACAGAACATAGTCAATGTTCATTTATACCATGATAGGTTTTGAGGGAGTATTATTCCCAGGTCTGACGCAGTGGTTTCCAATAAATGCTCAGAAGACGGAATTTTGGAATGCAGTAGAAGAAAACACTTGAGAAATTAGTGATATAATGGAAAAAATGGGCTTAGCTTCCAATTCTAATAAATACTTAACAAGGATAAAAAAACTACCAAGTCAGATTTCTGTCTTCTGAAATCTATCTGTATTTTTAAATTTTTATTTAATAAGTGGTATTATCTTTCCCTTAACTGCTTATATTCCTAGAAAGAAACCTAAAAACCTAAAGATAATGCCATCATAAATTGACTGTAATGAGACATTGTTGGTTTTATTTAGTTACAATTGTCATTATTATACATAATAGCATTTTAATTTTGCAATTGCCTTTAAATGTGAAAATATGATTTGATCTGAACATATAGTTAACTTACATTGAATATGATTTAGTTCTTTACAGGCAAGAAAAGTTAGTGCAAATAATTGCACTGTTTTGAGTTAGTAAATCTCAATTACCTTAGAGTTGAAGGAATTCTTATGGTAAAAGCAATAAACTGATATAAAAAGAGTTATGAGCATACATTCATGGTCATTCATTAATTCATTTAGTCATTAACTGCTCATTGCTCACCTACCATGTTTCAATCATGTGCTAGGCAATAAATATAATGAGGTGAATGAAAACAAGTGCCTATTGGAGCTTAAAGCCCAATGGATAAGAGAGATAATTTTTTAAAATTTTATTTATTTATTTCATGTATTTGAAAGGCAGAGTGAAAGAGCTCCTATCTGCTGGTTCACTCACTAAATGTCCACAACAGCTAGAAATGGGGCAGGAGAAGCCAGGAGCTGGGAACTCCATCTGGGTCTCCCACGTGGGTGACAGAGAGCCAAGTACTTGAGCTGTCACTTGCTGCCTGTAAGAGTCAGTATTTAAAGGACCCAGACACTCCAATATGGGATGTAGGCATCTCAAGCAGTGTCTTATCCACCCACCCCAAGAGAGATATGAGTTAAGCTGTCATCTGTGACACTGGCACCTGATATGGGCAACAGTTTGTACCCCAGCTATTCCACTTCCAATCCAATTCCCTGCTAATGCACCTGGAAAAGCTGCAGAAAGTGGCCCAAGTCCTTGGGCCCCCGCACCCATGTAGGAGACCTGGATGAAGCTTCTGGTTCCTGGTTTCAGCCTGGCCCAGCCCTGGCCCTGGCTGTTGCAGCCATTTGGGAAGTGAACCAGCAAATGTAAGCCCTCTCTTTCTTCTCTCTCTCTCTCTCTCTCTCTCTCTCTCTCTCTTTCTCTCTCTCTGTAACTATGCCTTTCAAACAAGTAAATTTTTTTAAAAATTTAAGTAAATTAGTGAAGTGCTACGAAGGAAACAGAGTGCAGAAATGGGGACTAAAATAAGGCAGGAGATGCCAAGTACAGGGTGATGACTTGCAACTGGGGGATAAAAACCCTCAGCTTTGTGATAAGCCAGTGCACACAAGGTTAGCAAATTCCCTTCTGATTATTTAAATCAAAGAGGTTTTTAAATGTATTAATATAATTTTTGACCATGCTTGTGACTCAGCAAGCATAATAAATTTCAAGTGACTGATTTCTCTCATCAATATTCAGTACTACAACAGATTAGTACAAATTGGGGGACGGCAAACCTTGTTTTCTTCATGTCCTCCATGACAACATGGGCATGGAACTGAATGCTGGCTCTAGTTGGCCGACTTAGTCTTTGAGGGTGATCTATCAAGTGCTCTAACTTTGCAAAATATGTAGCATTCACCCCCGCCCCCATCATGCGATCTTTTCCAGTGAATTTTAGTCTGGAATCAAAACCATTTGCTGTATTCTGTTGATTGCCAGAACACATGCTAAGAACTCATGTTAACAGAATGGGAATAAATGGGCTGTCTTACAACTACTTCACACATACATTCTTATATTCAGCGTAATTATTCCACGTGGTATATCTTTTCTCGTTAACACTACAGAAAGCAAAAGGAAACAAGGCTGCTGCAAACTGGCACCAATTATACATGAATCCCCGGGAAAATCACTCTGCAGAGGGCACCTCTGCTTTTAGGAAAGAAGGTCTGTGGCTCAGAAGACTCAGGAACCAGCAGGGTAGTGGAGACAACTTTTATGAACAGGGGATGAACTCCAAAACCCCTAATTTTGCCTTTGCACTACCTGCTGCCACTAGAGGGCGACTTTTACTTCCCCACAAATTCTACTGGGGTAGTGTGCTTGCACTGCTTTTCCCTGCACACTGCAGGTCCATCAGGTTATGTGTAAAGTGCCTACCACCATGCTGAGTAAGTCTTGTCGGAGAAACCAAAGACACGTGGTTCCTATCATCTAGGCGATAACAAGACTGTTCTGATAAAGTCAGAACTGACTCATAGGCACCATTGGGGGACTATATGCCTGTATGATGCATAAGAAGGCATTAGGTTACGATGTCATAATAAACCATAAAAATACCCTGGGCGGTTGTATAGGGATATGGCTTCAATAGGAAATAGCATTAAAATTGGGTCATAAAATATGGAACCGATGTTACAGAAAAGAAAGGATTGGGGTATGCATTTCTGGCTGGAAGAGAAACTTCTACAAAGTCAAAGTGAGTGTACCTCTTTTATAAAAGTCACTTAAGAAACAACTTGAAACTAATTAGTGTCTCCTACTATATTTAAAATTCTTTCTTTCTTTCTTTCTTTATTTAATTTATTTGAGAGGCAGAGAGAGGAAGAGAAACAGGCAGACAGAGAAATAAGGATGATCTCCCGTCTGCTGGTTCCTTCCACAAATGCCTGAAATAGCCAAGAACTTAGCCAGGGTTGAAGCAAGGAGCCAGGAGCTCAATCCTGGTCCCCACAAGGGTGGCAGGAACACAATTATTTGAACCATTACTCCTGCCTCCAGGGTATGTATTCCCAGGAAGCTGGAACTAGGGAGACACCTGAACCCAGGAACTCTGATGTGGGGGTCTTAATTGCTTGGCCAAACGTTTGCCTCTTTCTACTATTTTCCTTCTCTTAGAAAAAAGAATTCCATTTCAATAAATATTGTAAAGCATAAAAAAAAAAAAAAGTCAAAGTGAGACTCTCAAATGCAAGAATGCCTTCGGGGGGCCAGGAATGGGGCACAGTGGTTAGGATGCTGCTTGGGACACCAGTGTCTCATACTGGAGTGCCTGGGCTTGAACTCCAGCTCTGCTTCCAATTTCAGCTTCCTGCTAATGTGCACCCTGGGAAGCAGAGGTGATGGCTCAAGTGGTTAGGTTGCTGCCACCCATGTGGGAGACCCTGACTGAGTTCCATGCTCCTGGCATTCACTACCTCATGCTATTGTAGGTATTTGGGGAATGAACCAGCAGAAGGGAGATTTTTCTCCCTCTCTCTCTCCTCTCTCTTTCTCTTCCTTTGAGATATATATAAGTAGTGCCTTAAATTCCAGAGAGGCAGGAAGGGCAGTCACTACCAGCCCTGCTGCAAAGTTAATTCTGTTTTCTGTGGTTGTCTGTGGTCCACAACAGGGAGCTTTGAATATTCTTCCAGTATTTTCTCAAATAGAATTATTTTTTACATTCCTTAAAGTGCTCATGTATTTAAAGGATGACACTTAAATTGTTTATCTTAGGTCTAAAAGAGTTATGTAAGTATCAACATTTTAAAACCTTACTGTTATAATAAATCTAATGATTCACTGCATGCATGTGTATGTATAAAAAGATTACCAATAATTGAAAATTATCTTCATTCCACTTTTCTCCTAAAAGTTTTATCTCAAGCTAATATATATATATAATATATAATAAAAGTGTTCATTTCATTCCGCAATAAAAATGTATTAAGAAATTGAAATCTTTAATTCCCTAAAAAGAAAGACCCTAAGCATTAAAAAATAGCAGATGGATTGAGGTACCATTACAATTTATATTTGCATTCAACCTGTCAGCATGTTTTGTTAAATATTAAAAGTAAAGTTAATAGAAACGGGTCCTGGTACCACTGCCCCTTCAACACCAGGGACAATGGTAGTTCTTAGTGACATAAGTTGATGATTGTGCATTTAGTTACAATGTATATCATACACCCACAACATGCGAGATGCCGTAATAGGCAATGGGGAAGAAAGATAAATTATAGACAGAATGATAAATAATTTGGGGACAGTGTGACAAATTCTACAATAGAATAATATGTTTAAAGTCAAAGTCCTAAATTCAATTCCAGTTTCTTTACATAACTACAATATAACTCTGGAAAAATTAACTTCTCTGAAACTCAATTTTCTCGACAGTAAAATAGTGATAATAGTCTTATTATGGGTGCATTAGGTGTTTCTGTGTATTGAATGAAAATGTGAATGGGTTTAATAAAACAATAATGCATAATGTATTACTCTCATTATTGAATAGTTGAATATCTGGGAGAAAAACTGCTTGAATAAGTAGAAAATAGGCAGAAGGCACAAGAGCAGATAACGTTCTGGAG